CAGAGATCCACCTGCCTCTGCCTCCCCAGTGCTGTGATTAAAGGTGTGTGCCATCAAGCCTGGCTAGTTTGTATTTTAATGAATGAACTAATAAATGGTTGAATATTTGACATTATTCTTCAGATAAAATGTAGCTCTTAAAATTATACAATGGTGTTATCTCTACATAGCTTATATATTTTTAAATTATAGATCTCCAGTTGAACTTTTTGAGACTTACAGCATGGCAGCAATGACATTCAACCCTCCCGTTGAACCTTCAAACTCCAAAAAGAAGGTATGTGATACTTTTTTTAAATAGAGGAAATAAATTTAAATCAGTGTGTCTATTAGCATTCCAACTCTGCCAGTTTTCTTTTTTCTTCTTTATTTGAAAGTATTGCTTTATAATCCAGGCTGACCTTGAACTTGTGATTGTCTTGCCTTAGCCTCCCATGAATTAAGATACAGGTATTGACCAGAAAGACCTGGCTCTAGGAGTTGAGAGTGGGTTGGATGCATGGGGCTGAAATTCTGTAGAGATGGTTAGTGAGCCTTTCAGTCATTGTGAGGTATGTCTAAGACCTGCCTGGACACCTCTCATTACTCACTTTTTTGTTTGTTTTGAGACAGGCTCTCACTGTGTATAGCTCTGGCTGGTCTGGAACTCACTTTTTCCTTGAACTCACAGAAGATCCGCCTGCCTCTGCCTACCAGATGCTGGGATTAAAGGGTTATTGTGCCACCACTGCCTGGCACAATATGAGTACTTTTAACTGTTACTTTTAATACTTTTTTCCAGGATAAATTTTTACAAGGGGACTCATTTTTGAATGAAGATTTAAATCAACTAATCAAAAGATATTGCAATGAAGCTACTACTGAGATACCACTGGATTTCACCAAATGTTTGAAAACATCTGTACAGTAGTATAAAGGTGAAGAGTCAGTGGACTGCCTTATATATCTCTCTGTATGTGTGTGTAGAGACACATACAGACACACGAAGGCCTTTCTCTTTGTGTACAAAGAAAACTTCCTGAGGATGAGTATAGGAAGACTGAAGCAGCTTAAGATTAGACCCTTGTCCATTGGCTCTTGTTGAGTGACACACATTAGGAATAAGCAAATCTGACCTTTAGAAGGAATGTGTATAGGGGCATTGGGGGGGGGGGGTGGTACTCAGGAGGCAGAGACAGACAGATCTTTGTGAGTTCAAAGCCAGTCTGGTCTAACGAGTGAATTCCAGGACAGCCAGGAGTGTTACACCAAGAAACCCTGCCTCACAGAAACAAACAAACAAAAAACCCTAAACAAAAACAAAAAAAACCATCAAGAAGGAGGATGAATGAGTGCGTTTATGATAGTTTCAAGCAAAGTTTGAATGAGATTCTAGACTCTTCGAAGCTGTGTTAATTTTTTACATGAGAATGATGGGGGAATTGCTCAGTAGGACAAAAACAGGTCTGAAATTCCTATTGTGCTATATATAGGGACATCGGTTCCTGATAAATTAGTAAAGTGTTTTTCTTTTAAATTCTTACAGATAAAAACTGTATATACCTATACATAGAGATTAAAGCACTGTTTTATATAATAGCCATGACCATATTGTAGAGATGACTTATAAAATGTGTATATAAATATTTTCTGCTATTACTAGTCGAATAAAGTAGCTTCCTTTTCTACCACATAGTCTTGTGAGGTTTTGATTGTTTTTTATTATTAGTGAAAAGCAGTTCAACCAAATAGACTGTTAATTCAGCACCACAGAAGCCAGTCCTCTGAGGCTTAGAGCTCTTTCCTCATGCAGAGTAAGGAACAGTGACCAGTTACCAATTTAAAGCCAGCCCTTACTCCTTTTGAGAATTAACCTGGGCTTGTGGGTATCTGAGCAGAGATGAGGTCAACAGCTATTGGAGGAGAGAACAATGGGGGACAATTATCAGCTGGATTTGAATATGTTGAGTGTATTCTTATATTGAGTTCCAGAAGCAAGTCTTTTTCTTTTTTCCTTGAGACAGAGTCTGGCTTTATAGCTATGGCTGTCCTGGAACTCAGAGAGGATATGCCTGCCACTGCCTGGGATTCAAGGCCTGTACCACCATACCCAGCCTAAAAATACTTCTAAAGCCACATTTTAAGGTTTTATTGGTTTCTTGTTTTGTTTGTTTTGTTTTGAGATAGGATCTCCTCACATAGTCCTAACTGTCCTGGGACTCTATGTAGAACAGGCAAACCTTAAACACAAAGAGAGGCTCTTGGCTCTGCCTCCCACCACACTCAGCTAAGGCTTGGCTATTAATAATGAGAAAACATGGGGTTTCTTAAGCCCCACTGTTTGAATAAAAAGTTCCAGGAATGTTGGAAATACATGTACAACCAAAAGATCTGTCTGTATGTCAAAAATCAATTATTTTCTAACGTGGATACATTTATATTTCACTTTGGCAGCAACAACATACGTAAGTGAAAGTCAGTTTTAAGATAGGAATTAACTGTCTGGGTATTTCATGACTTACACTTTTCAGTTTCTTGTCACAGTTGGACTGTAACTCTATTTCAGGATGAACTATATGTGTACGTTAACTTTTTTATATAGCCTTGTATTAGTGTTTCCTTTTTGGAGATAAACATTATAGGCATTAGTAATCATATACCTTGAGGGCTATATCAAGCTACAGCCTTAGTTTCTCTGGAGCACCTACTGTGCTCAGCAGTGTACCTACTGTGCTCAGCAGTGTACTAGGCACTCGAAGGTGAAGTGGAATAGTGGGAATAGCATGGCCTTTTGCCCCATGATTTTTAATGCCAAGTCAAGTGGACAGGTGCCTGGGAGGAAGAGGTTCTCTCACCTCCCTACCAAGTGAAATGCTATGTGGTTCACACTGAGTGTACGAGGTCCTTGTTCACGCAGATCAGTACTAGGGAAACCAGGAAAGTTAAATGTGCCGGCTTGTCTCTTCAAAGCAAGGAGATATTTACCTGTTTCTCACTCAGCTGGGTGGGATGTAGTTTACAATCTTTTGTTCTCTGTAGGCCCTGGCTTCACCTGAATCCCCCAGATTATTATGTTTGTGTATCCCAGACTCTCCCTCTGTAGACCTTGATCATTGCTTCTCAGTCAGTACAACCCATCCTTTACAACAGCCTAAGTAACTTCAGTGTTATCTTAGGGCCAAGCCAGTCTTGACCCTCATGGGCTATTATGTTTGCATCAGTCACTCCCCTAGACCCTTACCTTGATCATTGTGTCTAAGTCAATGGAACCCATCTTTATGGAAGAAGCCGTATGTACTTTGTAAAGAGTAATGTAAACATGTCTTAAATGTTGTATACACACAGGATTGAGTGAATTGTCATCAGGAAACTTTTTTTTTTTTTTTTAATCAAAATCATGCTGTGTTTAAATATGGCTAAAATAAACCCTGGTGTCAGAGTCTAGAAGTTTGAACCAGCCCAGCTAAGTTGTGTTGAATCTGATTTCCTTCTTGCCTCTTGAAGATCATTTATCTGCAGGCCATAAGCCTTAGGAAGAACCGTGTTCACACATTAAAAAAAAAAAAAAAATGTTGGGGGATAGTTCTAATAGTCATTCTAATTCATTATGAATAGGATTATTTCTTTCATTTGATAGACTGGTGTCCCCATGTAATCCAGATAAGCTTTCAGTCAAAACTTAGTATTTCTGGAAAACATCAGACTGTGCTAGTCAGATCAATGGTGGACTGCTGTGTGTGGTTCATGGGATATAACTATGATCCCATAATGTTATAATACAACAACAAAACAAAACAAAGCCAAAAAAACCGACTTAGCTTATGTCAGTATATTCTGACATCATACAACAATGAGATTCCCTAATAATGCATTTCTCAGAATGTATCCCCATCATTAAGTGTCACATTCCTATGATGAACTGTTCATATTTTTAAAAGTTTATTTACTGTGTGCATATATGTGTGTGTGTATATATATGTATGTATGTATGTGTGTATGTATGTATGTATGTATGTATGTATGTATGTATGTATGTGGGGGGCACATATGGAAGCAGAGGATAATTTTGTGGACTCTGTTTTCTCCTTTTACTTTTCTATTGGTCTGGGATCAAACTGAAACTGAGGTCCTTAGGTTTGTGTGGCCTTTATTCTCTGGGCCATCTCACTGGCCCTATTTATATTTTTATTTAATCAATGTGTCCTGCCTAAAAAAATCAATAGAGTGTATTCTTTAACCTAAACTGGGGTGCAACAGGATAGGTTTGTTCACATCAGTATTTGAGTGTGGGGTCCACTTCAGATTTATTCTGAATCAGATCCCCATCTATGCTAAAGGACCATGTATGTGGGCGGGGTAAACCCAGGCCACCAGCCTGGCTCTGCATCTTATTACCTTCAGCTTTTGTTTGGCTCAGGCTGGTAGAACCAGTAATTTATTTTGCAATTCAAGGTGATGCAAATCATTGGGCCTTATTAGTTTATAGAAACTTGATAAAATGTCTCCAGAATATGTTTTTAAAATGAGGCAGCACCATCCATTTGTTACAGACCTATTGTTTTACTTAAAAGGGAACCTTTGGTGCTGTGCAGCTGCCAAATGAGAATAGTCTGACTTTTGTTGGCGAGAGAATGATGGTGCAAGCAAGAATCTTCCACCGACATAAGAGCTGTGTGGTGTATTTTTGACATGTCTCTTTTTGGAATGTGCAAAGGGGTTTAATTCATTCTATAATTAGTAAAGGAGAATTTCAAAGTCAGGATTTTTAGTGTGCTTTATAATTTGAAGAAAAATGTCTTCGAAAGGAACGATGTCAATGGAAAAATAAAATGTAGGCTTGACTCTGAAGAAACATGTATTTCAGTCCGATAAATCACAATTTGCTTCATTTCAAAAATGAGAAGAATCTATTGCACTTAGTTGACAGTTTTGTGAAGGAGAGTTTTAAAAATAACTTGCATCAAATGGCGAGTATGACTTGGATCTTGGCTCTTCGGTAAATCAGACACTATTGCACTGGATGTCTAGCCCACTTCTCATGTTCAAATGTTTTATTTTAGGATGTCTTGAAATAGATCGAACCACTAATGCTTGTAACCCATAGCAATATCGAGATAGCTATGTCTAATAAATACATAAGTACAGTGTCAGTACAAACATTGCAAAATAAATAAATCTACCTTAGACATCAACTCAGTCTGCTTTTGCTTTTAAAAAATGATGAGGCTTCTTAGTAAGACATCACAACCCAGAAGATACTAAATTGTACATCATTCTAAATTCATTTTGTGAGAACTGAAATTGGAACAATCTGTGGACATATGAATAATAGCTTTTGAAAAAAAAGAACATTTCTATTTGTAAAAAGGCAGCCTAGGGTAAGTGCACCTTGCTACACATATAGGAACTAATTTGAGTAATTGTTAAAAAACCTTACAGGACATACTTACATTTCCAATGCCTGTAGATTTCACTTCTCATTCAACCTATGACCAGTTTTCAAGGTTTTCCAACCTATGTGCCTCTGATTCCCAGTTCTCCAAGTTGGGTCAGCAAAACTGGTCTTTGGGTCTAATTCATGGGTTTTTGTATGACCCTTAAACTAAGAATAGATTTAACAATTTTACGTGGTTGGAACACTTGAAAGGTTTGTGGCATGTGAAAATGATATTAATTCCAATTTATGTGTCCATAAATAAGATTTTATTATTCAGTCATGTTCATTCTTGTACCTATTGGCAGCTGCGTTTGCACTCCAGTGGTAGAGCTGAGTCGATGCCAACAGAAGCCATATGGACCGGACCCTAAAATGTGCACTGCCTGGCCCTTTGCAGATGAAGCTTGTTGCCTGAAGCTTAGGGCATGGCTTTTCCACCCGTAACATCCGTGCAATGCCCTGGGTGTCCCTGTTTTATTCCTTAGGAAGTCGGTTGGCAGCCCTGTGCTATTTTGCTTGTCCTCTGCATTTGCCTCACATCAGGTGTGAAGAGGGCAGTTCAGAAATCAATTTCCAGTTTAAATGTGATGGAAGTAAAGTACACTTCTTTCCATCTTGTTCAGCCTTCAGAGCATCTCGCCAAGGATCCTCATCTGTAACATCATCCACATAAGCTTATTAGTGTAGTGAACACAAGGAAGCACAAATTCTTACAGCCTGCCCAAGTTCAGAGCTGTTGAACCACGGATGCTCTCATGGCTAGTTTTGAAGGAGTCGCTTTTTGTAATACAGTGTTAAAATGTGTCTGTGGGATGTAGAACACTGATAATTCTGTCCTGGCACACCACATTTTTTTTTAATGATTTATTTTTATTTTGTGTACATTGGTGTTTTGCCTGCATGTGTGTCTGTGTGGGGGTGTTAGACCCCCTGGAACTGGAGCTACAGACAGTTGTGAGCTGCCAGGTGGGTACTAGGAATTGAACCTGGGTCCTCTGGAAAATCAGCCAGTGCTCTTAACCTCTGTCTGAGCTGTCTCTCCAGCCCCAGGAATACCATATTCTTTAGGAAAAACAGCAAAAAAAAAAAAAAAAAAAAAATTTTCTTTTTTTTTTTTTTGTCAAATCAAATAAAAATCAAATAAATGTCCCTCAACTTTAGGAAAAGAAGAAATTCCTTCAACTGTTACCACTTCAGGTAGGAGTAAGGCTAACATTTGATTTGCTTCTTTAGAAATTCGTAGGTTATTATTATTGAAACTTTAGGTGTTGTCATTTTAGAACAAATAACATGAAATACTGTGGCAGTCAAAAAAGCTAAAACATTGTACTTGCTTACTTATGAGAATGTACAAAGAGAACTTTTTAAAAGAAGTAAGTGTTTGATCTTGGAAATACCTTGATAAAAGAGGTCATAGGGGGGCATAGTTGTGCCAATGGCTGTTTTTAAAAAGTAATGTTTAGCAGAGCTGTGAAGTCAGTTTAATACTTCAAAAGGTCACTTGCCAAGGGAAATGGAAGGCAATTGTCTAAACCACTGCCCCCCAACAAGGCCATACCTCCCAGTCCTCCAAAGACAGTTCCACCAACTAGGGGCCAAGCATTTGGTCCTCTCACACCCTTTACATATTCTAGATCATCCTTCTGCTGAGATTGACATTGTGAATGTCAAGCAGTGATGTTGGTAGCTGACACTGCCTTTTCAGGATGGAGACTGAAATTATTTTTAAGTCTTGTCTGGCAATTGGGGCAAGTTGATTGCCTTCCTGGGTGGGGCCTTTGGTTAATTACTTACGAAATCGGGAAGTCTGAAAAAGTGTGTGTAAATACAAGGGTGTGTACACAAAGGAGGCCAAAGGACAACTTGTGTGAGTCTTACACATTCAGTTCAGGTCACCAGGCCTTTAACCTTTAACCACTGAGCCTCTGGCCCAGAAGTCTAAACTTTTTAAAGCTTGCAGATAATTTCAGAGTCCAGGTTCTATTTTGAGGTACCACCCCCACCTGTCTTAAGAGGACAAGCCTCTTGAAAGAAAGGACACAAGGCTCCATCCTGTGTTACAAAGTACTTGCTGTTGAATCTTGTTTCAAAATGCTACAGTACCTTAGTCCAGCTGGGCCGCCCCCAGTCACTGCTGGTAAGCTGCTGTGTCACCAGAGGACAAGGCACCCATAGGCTTCTCCTCCTTGATTTGGACACTTTCGGGGGTCACAAGCTGAGGAGGTGAAGTGAGTCCTCGGGGCTGCTTAGTGGACTTAGTGAGTTTCTTGAGTTCACTTGCAAAGGAGATGCCCCTCCTTTTATCTTCCCTGGATGCCTACATAGAAAAAAAGAGAACCTTCCTTGATGGAAAGGTAAGCCCAGGCTCCTGAGACCCATGGCATACTCACAGGGAGCACTTGCTTTTGCACTTCTCTGGCAAGTAAAGCTTTGGGAAGACTGGCCAAAGGCTTCTCACCCAGGATCTTTTAACCACACAGGGAAGCAAGAGGTTATGTCTTTTCTCCCCACAGAGTGAAAACAAAATAATTACCCTCCAACTGTTGGACTTAGGAACTTTCTAGAGATTTCTCTAGCTCCCACATTTAATTGTAATGTGACTATCCGTGATTTATAGAGAACAAAGTAACTTTCCTGTTACCTGAACCTGCTCCTTCAGCTTGAGGATGAATTTCCCTGCACCTTTCCACTTGCTTTGGGCTTGAAACACACACTCTTGGTCCAAAAGGATCCTCTGTGAGGATTTGGGAGTGGAAGACTTCTTATTGGGTGTGTCTTTCATCACCTCTTCCAAAAGCACATAGTCACCTGGGTTGGGGTTGTTCAGGATGCTGTAGGAATATTTGGCTTTGCATAAGGTCTGAAAGATAAGTGAGGGTCAGCTGAATCAAGCATCTCCCATGTTTGCATCCATCCTGAGTGAAAAGTTTAAGGTGGAAAAGTGCCTCAGACTTTAGTGATGGGGAGGAGCTTCCAAATCTGGCCTTTTCATTTGAGTAGTTATGGCTTATAACACCCAGGTCACCTCATTTAGCTTCTAAGTGGCCTGACATAAGAGCAACTAGAATGGGCTCGTGAAGTCAGACACAGGAGGAGGATTTAACAGCAGAAATGAATGGAGTCCCCTACACCAGCCAAAAAGAAGCTTGTCAACACACAGCATAACTCAGACACAGATCTGAGTGAGATCTTGAGATCTTGCTGGAGATCTCTGAATGAGTAAGCGGTAGAGCTGAGATTGAGGCCTCAGCCGTGTTCTCAGGGGTCTGTGCTGTTTACTGTGTGATATCATTTCTCAAGCAGAGATTCAATGAATGCAAACTTTGAGGAGGTCATGAGAAACAGTTCTCAGGAGTCATGTTAAAAAAAAAAAAAAAAAACCACCAAACCAAACCAAAACAACAATAAACTAAACTAAAACTGAAAAGCAGTAGCCTGACCTAGAGGAAGGGATTTGCCCAGTAGTCAGAGTTGGCCCTCCTGCTTGTGGTCCGTGCCATCCTTCAGAGATGGTCACTCAATATTTACTCAGGAGTTTCTGAGGCAATTTCTGCAGAGATCCAAATTCGTTGTAAATTCTAGCTAAGTATCTGCTGCAGGCTGAACAACCATTTCCTATCCTTCTGAGATGTATTCTCCATGTCCAGTTCGCCCATTCTAGAACTCCATTCATAAATGAGCTATTGATACATACACATCTCATTTGTCCCAATCATTTATATCAATAAGAGCCATGGCATGAGGAAAGGAGAGATTCCTTGTGGTGCTGGGGTCAAGCGCAGAGTTCTATGCTTGCCAGGCAGGCAGCATCTCTGAACTACACCCTAGCCCCCAAGGACGCTTTTACCTGCTGAATGACATCCTGTGCAGTGCTGACCCGGGGGGCTTTGATGACAGTTCGGGGTTGCTCTGGAGAGACATCATGAACTTGGACAAAGAAACTCTCTTCCTCTGAGCTCAAGATCACTTCTTTGTCATCTTGGACAATGCTTTTCTCTTCTAGGGTCTGCATTTTAAAAAAGAAAATATATGAGTAACCGGTAAGGCAGAAAAAATTCTAACAAATATTTGCATTGTATCTTGGTAATATGGAAAATATCACCTTAGGTTTATAGTTCATACGTTAGCCAGTATTTCATACACTATACTAAAAAGGCGCACGCAGCTGCTTTTGAATGGAAGAAAGTCTTGATGTTGATACACACATAGAATGTATAAGTGTCTACTAGTTGTGGTTTTTCAGTGACCAAACCAATTACAAACTTGTAGAAAGAAAATATACTGTTTTGTCAATTACTGAAAGCCAAATAAGAACACAGTAAGCTGTATTGAAGAGAAGTTCATTCCCCAAACACCATTAATGCTTAAGGAGTTTTAGACATGGGAGCTGGTGAGATGGCTTAGTGGGTAAAGGGGCTTGGACTGCAAGCCTGATGTCATGGTCCAATCCTTGGGCTGCATGCAAATGTGGGAGGAGTTTTCCTCTGACCTCTACCCTCCCTCCTTTAAGCTCTCCCTCCCTCCCCTCTTTACCCATCCTCCCTCTCTCTCACCCTCCCTCCCTGTCTCCCCTCTCTCCCCCTCTCATTTTAAAGTTACAAAAGAGAAATACTAGGCACATGAAATACGAAGCATGGCGTATTTTGCTCATCCAGATCAGAGGCTACAGGTAAGCCACACTCCATTGAATATTGATAGAATTCCCAATCATACGACAATTATTATCAGGGTAATTGGATTTGGGTAAATTTTAGTAAAATCCAATCCCTCTCTTGTATCCATCATCTTTAAAAAGTTTTGTTCCTTTATGTGGATGAGTGTGTGCCTGCATGAGTGTATGTACTCTACATGAGTGCAGGAGCCTTTGGAGGTCAGAAGAACGTGTTGGATTCCCTGGAACTGGTGTTCCAGGTGGCGTTAAATCACCATGTGGGTAGTGAGTAGGAACTGAACCTGAGTCTTCTTGAAGAGCAGTGAGGAGTTTAAACTTCAGAGCCATCCTTCTAGGCCCTATTTTTATTTTGTTAAGAGTACCAGCTAACTTCCAGAGGACTAGGGTTTGATTCCTAGCATCCACATGGTGGCACAGGGCTGTCTGTAACTCCATTTCCAAGAGATACAATGTTTCCTTCTGGCCTTCATGGACACTAGGCATACATTTGGTATACAGATATATGTGTAGGCAAAACAAAGAATGCATGAAGTTTTCCCAACAGTCAAGAAAATGAAAAACCCTTTTCTCTTTATATTGCCTCATTCTTATAAACAAATGAGCAAAGAAGTCTGTGAACAAAATCTGTCTGTTGTTAGGTGTATATGCTTGTGTACATCTGCCATTGACATATAAGTGCATTTTCTACCGTGTGAACAGATATACACAAAATCCTGGAGTTGTATGTATATGGTTGTAATTTTTTACATAGCTTCTGTCCACTTATCAGACCCTTGTTTTTGTTATTTTATTTATTTTTTTTTTTGGAGACAGTCTCTCTATGTAGCCCTGGCTGTCCAGGAACTAGCTCTGTAGACCAGGCTGGCCTCAATCTCAGAGGCCTTCCAGCTTTTGCCTCCCAAGTGCTGGGATTAAAGGTGTACACCACCACTGTCTGGCTGCCCCATTTTCAAATGACAGTAGTTTTGAAGTTACAGTCTACAAGAGAGTGTACACAGGAAAAGAGAGATGAAGGAAGTAGTAGGTGACCCTATCAGACATCAGAGAAAATTCTATTCCCAGTGTTCTAACCTGATCTCCACAGACAGGCTCCTGAGATGATGCTAATGAAACAGAAGAATTCATGGTTTGCTGTCTGTCCCTGGCCTGCAGGATTCTGCTGGTTCCATCACCCAGGATCGTTCCCATTGATACTTAAATCAAAATGGGAAACTGCCACCAGGTGGTGCCAGACTTTAATCAAGTCGGACAGGATCTGCTCCAGCCTTTTCAGCAGCCCCCAAGTCACAACCCTACAGCTTACATGGCTGGAGTTTCAAACCTCACTCAGTCTAACAATGGGGGGTGGAGGAGTGAAGGTATTGTCTACTTCTATTACATAAGACATGATTGTCCCCCACCATGCTCCCTGTTTTTCTCCCATTTACTGTTCTTGGTACATAGTGGGCTGTGTCATTAAATTTGTTGTTAAATATTCAGATGATCCAAAAGTGATATTGGGGGTAATTTACATGACAGCATTTATGATCTAGCATTCTCCAAAGCAGGAAGAAAGTGTTGTGTGGCTGAAGTGCTTGCTGAAAAGCATGAGAACTTAAGCTACAGGACACATGTAGAAAAGCCAGGTTTGGTGTCACACTCTCGTCATCCCAGCACCAGGAGGCAGAGACAGGCTGAGCTTTGGTTTTGCTGGGCTGTCAATGAAGCCTACTTGGTGAGATTCAAGTCCCAAGAGAGACCCTGTCTCAAAGAAAACTAGGTGGATGGGTCCTGAAGAATATTTGTGGTGGTTCTCTGGCTGCCACATACACAGCACACAAGTACATTTGTACATATGAACACGAACACACACACACAAAGAGGGAAAATTCTAAGTTGCTTCATAAAATCAGCAAGAATGCATGTTTTGCTAGGTGCAGTGGTGCATACCTTTAACTCCAGCACTAGGGAGAGAGAGAAAGGTGAATCTCTGTGAGTTCAAGGCCAGTCTGCTCTACATAGCAAGGTCTACATAGCTATCTAGGGCTACATTGTGATACACTGTCTTTTAAAAATTCATTTTTGTTGTTGTTAATTTTCTTTTTTCTTTGTGTGTATGTATGCGAGTGTGCATGCGTGTGTGCGTGTGTGTTGTGCACACGTGTCCATGTATGGAGGCCAGAGGTGGACGTGGACATCAGGCATCTTCCTCTATCTCTTACACTCTCTTTTTGTGACAGGCTCTCTCAAGCTAGGTATTTGCTCTAATGCTATGTATCACCTCTGGCCCTCCCGAATGAATATTTATGAGCATCACTATGCACCAGGCAAACCTAAATAACTCCTTTGACAAATATTTCAGTCATAAAAACCTCCTCTCCACAAAGGTATATGGAGAGCTGCTACAGTCTCCTCACCAGGGAAAGCTTGTGAGTGTTCCCTTGGGATATATCTCCTCTTTCCTTCAGAGTGCTTCTCTCCCCTCGGGCTTTATTGAGCATCCATTCTGGAAGGCTTTACCGCCTGCTGTCACATACATTTAGACTACCCACCAGTATCCATAAACTCCCCAATATTTCTACCTATATAATGAAGTCCTATTTGAGCCTCAGCACCAGTCCATGCTGACTGCCGCCTCCCATATCCATACCCACAGGTTTGTGAAGCACATTGGGTTCCAAGCTTTCCAGATGAGGGCTAATCAACATCTGAAAGGCTTAGCTCCTTATGCCTCTGGAAATATTCCACAGCTTCACACAAACTAAAGATAATCTCTCAGATTTAGTCAGAATTACTGAAGGTTTATGTATGTTGATATCCTCATCTGGAAAGCTTGGGATACAATGTGCTTCAGAATTTTTCAGCTTTCAGATTTGGGAATCTTTGTACAGACTGTACAAGCTAGATATCCCCAGGCAAAAGCTTTACCAGACAGTAAGAAGAGAGTTGGCAGCTCTTGTGTTAGGCAGTGTGGCAGCTCCCTCAACTGAGGCTTTTCTTTCTATGGTTTATTAAGGGGAAAATGCCATAAATAATGCATAAGTTCTACCAAGGATGTTGCTTTTACACTGAGTGTCTTTAGTTAGCCATCTGAATATGTTCAAGAAAATAAAACCAGCTCTCCATATTGACGTGAGAAGAGTAATACGAACCATGTTTCAGTGACAAGTTACTCAGGATTCGAGGAATGTATTCAGTGTCCAGATGGCTGATGACATACTGAGCAGTCACCATGGAGGCTTTGTCCAGGTGGTACTTACTTCCTGTTGGGGCTTTAAGACAATCCTGCCCACGTAGCCTTCTTCTGGAAACCAGCTGTTTAAAATCTGCACGATATCTTCTTCTGGACCCACAGCTCTCTGGAATGGTTGTTTCTTGCATTCATTCTTTTCCTTAGATATAAAATACTTCTCTTCCATCAGAAAGTAGTCACTAAGTTTGGTGTCTTGGTCAATCACCAGAATCTAAAGAAAAGGCAAAGGCAACATTAGGCACAGCTCCGAAGAGTGGCACAAACTGAACACTAGTCGGTTTCTATGATGTTCTGGCAGGTTTGCTGGGCAATTTATAAGTGAAGACTACCTGGGAGTGTTGCATAATTCTTTCTAGGGTTATAATAATTCTTATATGTCCAAAACGGGTTATTTATGCTCACTCTGGGCAAAGGCACAATTTATTTATAATCCCCGGACAGTATAACTATTTTTCCCACTGCTGGAATGAGAGATCCTATTGAATTAAAACTTCAGGTTTCTTACTCTATGAACTTGGTTCTTTGAAATCTTACAACAAAGGGCTGATGCAAAGAGCCCTGTGCGGTTTGCAAACATCATCTCTGTTTCTCACAGTGGAAATGACTATCCTGCCATGGAAAGCTCACAAGCATGCGGTCTCGTCTGGGAACTCTCCTGTCAGGAGATTCCTGACACTGTGCCCAAAGGGCTGCTCCCCAGTTGGCTCTGGACTCAACACAATCAGATGGGGTGGTTAAGACAGAGCTTTGGAGTCAGTTAGACCTAGGTCTCAGGCTTCCATCTAAGACTTACTTGTTTTGAGTTGAGGCTATCTCAATGGTAGAGCATTTGCTCAGCTTAACATTCATGAGGATGTAAATATTTACTGTCTTTGGTTTCCCCATCTCTAAAATGGGAATGCTCACAGTAATAATCTATTAGTTTTGGTTTTTGATGGGAGCGTTAAGCATAGTGCAAGACATTTCGAACACTCAATGAGCCATCATTAGAGTCTTCCTGATATTTTCTTTCTTACTTCTGAAATCTGATGAAGTGTCAGTGATAGTGAAGAAATCCTCTTTGTTCCCTTCCTGTGAGAGGTAGCTGTGTGGTGGGAACCAGTTGTTACCACCTGACTTGGATTAAGCAAACACCCATCTTCCCAGGTCCCTGCCAATGATGCAATGACCATGGTTAATATCTCTCGCTTGGAGGGGATGCACAATATAAGGTGCTAAGGGATGGTAGAAGCATAAAATTCTCAAAATTCTGATCCCTCTACCTGAGCTCTTGCTCTAAAGCAGCATGCTAGCAATTCCATGCAGGCCAAGGCAAACTATTTGGACCATGCACACACCTACTATAAGAATTATTAAGGGCGGGAAATTTCCAGAGGTTCTGTTGGTACTATCATCACCTCAAGAAACTCAACACCACTTTTTCTCAACACCGAGGACTCATTTGTTTATTTGTATGGGGAAAATATGGTGCTGCCTTCATTAGCAGCTGTGGGAAGTTTCCTTGATTTTACAGAATCTTAGTAGTGACTTCACACTGAAGTTTATGGACTAATTGACTAAAAAGCAATCAGAAAGAAAAATCCCAAACTCTTTGCAGTAGCTTCTGTTTGGTCATGTAAAAAATTTGGACCTTAAAGCAGTTTACCATGATGCTAATTAAGTCAGTCATAAAATGTTGGGCAAAATGTTGCACTATCCATGGAGATGTACCCTTAAATGATAGAGACAACTACTATTAATAATGTTAATACTTCTTAAACAGCACTGCCCAATTGGTTTTTAATTCTGTCATGCATCCTTTGGTTCCTGCTACATTTCACCAGATGCACTCACTTTGGGTGAAGATCCAGAGTACCACCCCTCTTGGTCAGTGTTCTCCCTGGTCTACACTCAGAGAGGAGAAATAGTTCTAAAATGTGCTAAGGATGAAAGAGTATGTGGGATGATAGGCTACTGAATCATAAAAGTTCTTCTCTGAGGTTAAGCTAGCTTGGCTAGTGGTACCAAGAACCCTTAAACTGTTCTTAGGTTTTTAAAATAAAAGGTCTGTGGTTGTAGCTCAGTGGGTAGAGCACTTGCCTAGCATATATATGTAGCTGTAGGTTCAAGCTTTAGCATGTAAAGATAAACTATAGATAAATAAAAAAAATGCATCATCGATGTGGACTTTTATGGATTTATGTGAATGCATATATCCATGCATATTTGTATACACACATACATTTTGGAGAATGGGTTTCTTTAACCATGGCTTTGGTGAACTTGCCTGCTGGAGAAGCTGCTTTGCCTTGGTGCCTCCATTTATAGTGAAAACAGCAAAGGGCTCTGGACCTGGAACACCATGCACTGTGACTCTGTGAGTCTGAGAACACTTCCTCTCTTCAGTATTAAACATCTGTCAATGAAGATCACATGGTTTCTCATGCATTCTACAAAACACAGAAGTTCTAGGCTCTATTCAACACGAATTTCTTAGGACCCACTGAAGGCGTGGATGTAATGATTTCACTAGATCCAGGATAAATGATAAATGGGTGTTTACTGGGACACTTACACAGATTATAAAAAAGAACCCCAGGAGTGCTTCTCTGCCCTTCCTATGGGATCGAATCCGCTGACCCAAGAGACCTCGAGAGAGACCACGCCTCTCACTTTCCTCTTTCTATTTCCATTTGCCTGAAGCCACGCCCAAAGAGGTGTGGCCACCGTTACAGGTTCACAGGCAAGACAAGCACTACAATCCACTTGTAACCTGATGCACGCTGATGTGATACAAGAGACAATGGCACATCTTCAACAGTCACGAGGAAATTCAGCCACCAGGGTATTAACTTACTGAAATTACAGCGCTTCTTTCTAGCATGAGTAGGAATTGGTATCGCGTGAAATGCATGTTTAAACTCCTCCAGTGTTACAAATATGAGCCAAGGTTTCCGTAGCATGATGCAAGAAAGGAGAAAGGAAGAAAGAGGCTAAGAAAATAGGGCACATGCAGAGGAGAAATCAGCATAGGTGAGGGAGAGAAAGGCCAGAGAAGAAAGCAGAACTATGTAAGATGAAGGCGATCCAAGGAAGTGCCCAAGCCTGTGAACTCAGACAGTCACATATGTTTTAATTTACTAGAGGAAGAATAATAGAATTAACCAATAAGTTAGAGCAGTGCTTTTTGTTTAGAGGGGTAAACCCTGGTCCAATAGTTCTTAAACATCACTGGATGTGGGGTACGAACTGGTGAGTTAGTGCATATGTAAGCAAGAAGTGTCAGCCACTTTTGTTATCATTTCCATAGCTACCTAATTAACGACTCTTTGGCAACTTTGTTGTACCACAAGAGAGTCCGACACCAGTGTAGCAGTCCTGCAGATATGTTGGGTGAAATAAGAACTTAATTACCAAAGAGGCTGGCATGGTACTGCCGGAGGGATTTTCTTCCATCCTTCTGCTGTTTATGAATAAGCTAGAGATCTCCAATATTTCATTGTGGAGGTTACGCAGCTGAAGATGGCGATAGCCTGGAATGATACAGAATTGGAAAAAGCCTGTTAACCATGCACAACTGAGCTCTGCAAATATCCCCATGGAGATCAATACATCCCCAAGATGGGCAGTGGATGGTAAGAGGTATGCCAGCAGAAATCTTCATTGTAAGAGAGCTGTCTCCTGGGGGATATTCCTGGACTGTCAATGAATAATTACCTTATCCAGTATTCTTTCTAACTTAGACTCAGATGGATAATCATTTAACTCAAACAAGAACAAAGAAATCGGGAACCCTGATGATTTGAACACCAAGGCATCTACTATCTCTGCTTCATTAAAGGCCAATATCCATTCTATAGAACCCTTCATCATGAAATACTTTTATAGCAAGAGAGCACATATAGAAATAAAATGCAACAACATGCAGCCAGTAAAAATGGTAAGGTAGCTGTATGATTATTAATATAGGAAGGTGCTCACTATATACATTAGAAGTGGGAAACCAGAAATTCTTACATTAGGATTAGTAGGAAGTCTATTTGTTAACCGTGTATCTCATTACCATATACATGGGCAGAGAAATAAAGCCTTCACAGATGTCTATCTAAAATGATTAGTCTGGGGAATGCCTCAGATACTCTTGAAACAACTGATTCTGTAATGACCTGAATTATGGACCCCTGGCAGGAGCCATGTGACTTCTTTGGGAGAGCAATGCCCGAGAAGGGCATGAACGGCTCTCCTTGTGGCAAGGCCCCAGGAGACCCTCACCCACTTGCCAAAGAACCTGTGGACAGTTCACTGCATGATTCTGGGCATGACCATGTGAGCGTGTGTGTTATGTGCTGTACTGGCTTTCACTGTGCTAGCCATACTGCTGGCCTGAATGAGTCACTGTAGGCCATAAAGCTTAATACTACATATTTGCATAACTGTTTTGGAAAGATTGATTTTGACCTTAAGAGCTTTAAAGAAATGCCATTAAATAGATGATATAAAGAATTAATGGGAACATTAAAGGAATAGGGATCACAGAAACCCACAATTCCCTCATTTCTAGTAACTGTGCCAACACACCAAGAAGTTAAGAGAGGTATTTAAGGACAAGGGCTAAGCAGTGCCAACAATTAAGAGTAAGGTTCCAGGCTATGTTGCTTATAGCGTAAGTGAAAAAACCTGGTATACCCCCAGAGGAGACAGAACGAAACCAACATAGAATGGATTGATCTAGCTCTGGCTGGAGAGTTGACCATGAGATCCAGGACCCTACCGGGTATAAAGATTAACAAGGGACGAAACTATCTCTTGCCCTGCATGATGCTGTAACTGCATGTGCTGCCAACAAGACACACTGTTCTACCTGTAGGTGTGCTTAGATAGAAAAGTTCCTGTGTAGCTTGCAAAACTGCTCAGGCTTTTGCCTATAGAGATATAGACCAAAAGGGTAATGGCTACCCATGGGAGAGTTGAGAGACAGAAGGGGAAAGAGGCAAGGAACAAACCGGTAATTATTGTAACCAGTTTTAGAAACGTAGGAAGTAAAAACTGATTATAAAATTTTGTTCATACAAACCATTGAAACTTTATAAATAAAAATGGCTCAAGCTTGCTGGGCGGTAGTGGCACACACCTTTAATCCCAGCACTCGGGAGGCAGAGACAGGTGGATCTCTGTGAGTTCAAGGCCAGCCTGGTCTACAGAGCAAGTTCCAAGACAGGTTCCAAAGCAATACAGAGAGACCTTGTCTCAAAAAACAAAACAAAATAAAACAACAACAAACCCAAACAAACAAACAAAGGCTCAAGCTATCCAGAGCCACTTTTTTTGAACAACACAGGTGGTCACAGTCCCTTCTGGGCACTGACTCCACACATCCATCCCAGGTCAACAAACCCATCTAGAGCAAGGCCTCCATCAGACCCCTCTTACTCTCCCTTTATTGTTGTTGTTGTTGTTTTCAAGACAGGGTTTCTCTGTGTAGCCCTGGCTGTCCTGAAACTAGCTCTATAGACCAGACTGGCCTCGAACTCACCGAGATTCACCCGACTCTACTTTCCCAAGTGCTAGGATTAAAGGTGTGCGCCACTACCTCCCAGCCCTCCCTTTGGTTCTATTTCCTTATTTCAGTCTCTGCTCTAAAATGCCCTCGGCACTGCAGATGCTATTTGGCAACTTTATTCTACCTCGTTTCAAAGCTTTGAGTGGAATGATTCTCTGAGCCATTATTGCCGAACTGTTGTTTTCCACAACTGCAAAACGAAGGAATACAAGATCTTCAAAGTGAACCCGGAAGAGAAACTGTTCGTTCCACATGGGGTTCAGAGTGTTTCGATGGATGGGCTTTGTGCGGAAATGGCAGCTGTCCAGGGGCATGCCCAAGACATCAACCTCAATGCACGGGCTTCCGGTGCTGTTACTGGGGCACACATTTTGGCCAGAGATGATCTGAAGGAAAAGATAAAGGATCAGGTTACAAAAGATGAAAGAGAAGCCAAGGGACCACTAATTCTCTACCTTTCTGTCCACAGAGGATGCTGCAGTGGATACGGTGAATGATTAATAAAAACCCAGTGATTGTAATCTGGTAATCATTGCCTGGAACATTTGAAAACCCTATTGTGCTTATGGCATTCCCTTAAACTGATTTTAAAAAAGAAGCACTGAAAATAAAACAAACAAACAAACAAACAAAAAAAACCAAAACAAAAAACTGCATTTCTTACCGACATCAAAAGAAAAGAAAACCCTATTCCATACAAACAGGAGTGAATATATTTTACAACTACAAAATCTTCAACAGATTTGGAGCAAGCCACGAAATGCTGTTAAGAGAAATTAACTCATGGCTGAATGAAAACAAAAGGACGAAATGAGTATACAGTGTTCCTAGGTGTGGGTTTGAGGAGAAGGTTTACTGTAGCTACGAGGGAGAGCACAGCCAGGCACATCAGGAAGGCTCCAGACTGAACACGGCGGGCAGACTGAACAGGGCCATGTGAGGAGGGGGGCATGGAAGAGGGGAGAGCCAGAAGCTAAGAGGTCAGGACTGTGGGAACCAAGAGTGCCTGCCAAGGGGCAAAAAGGCAAAATGACCAAGTAGCCAAAATGGCGGGGTTCTATGGGAATCTGAGCAGGAGTGCAGGGTATGCCAGCCATTGAGCAGGGTTTCCTTGCCACCTACAGTAGCTTTCTGTGAAAAGATAATCCACCAGTCTACCCTTGCTAAAACAGAGGCAACTGCTCCCCCAGCTTAGGGTGAGAGACAAAGCAATTTGGGTGATGGGAGAATGTGTGAACAGAGTTAGCGTGGGGATTCGGGGTATCACGAGGATGCTGCCTCTGGAAAGAGAAAAATGAGATTTAAAGATGAAGAGAAGAAATGACCCTGATTTGTCTTTCGCTGTCTCTCTCTCTCTCCCCCCTCTCTCTTTCTCTCTCTCTCTCTCACATCCCCCTCCTCCCATCTCCTGTCTTTATTCTTTCTTCTCTGTTAACCAAGAGGGAGCAAATTAATGAGGAAGCAGAGATGATGAATGACCTGCAGTTCTCTATTTTAAGGTGGCAATATGAAGAGTTTGGCCAATAACTTGGTGATGACTTCCGTCACAGGGAGCACAAGGTTAGACAGGAAGCAGGAAATATGCCTCACCGTGCGTATACACTGATGTGAGTCTGTCTGGTCTGGGGAAAAGCTCGGTATTTATGGGGACACCCAGTTATGACTCTGTGTACCCCAGAAGACAAAATGACCATTTATGAGATAAAGCAGGGATCTTCTAACTCCACCTGCTTGGCTCAGAAACACACAGTCAGTGTGTGACAGCGTGCCTAACCTCAGCCACTGCTTTCTGAGAAACAAGAAATTACTGTGGGAACCTGTGGTACCCTGAATTCCAGACCGTTCAGATTCACTCCTGGAGGGTTAAACGCTATGTTGCTCTGACAGCAGGAGCATACTCACAGTTAAAGAATAGATAGCAGGGTCCATGTTGTCTAGGTCTCTTTCCAGTGGAGAAAACTTTTGGTACATGGGGCAGCTTTTATCCCACAGGACAGGGGGCTTCAAAACATAACCACAGCCACCATTTGCCTCAAACATTGCAGCATTTAAATGTAAAGGAAGATCTGCGGAACAAACAAAGCCAAAATTACATGTTACTTCACAAAGAGGCGACAGTCAGCCATCCAGCCACCCATGCACTGGCTAGTCTTTGTCAACTTGACACAGAGTTATTTGGGAAGAGGAACCTCAACTGAGGAAATGTCTCCATCAGATGGCCTGTAGGCAACTCTGTAGGACATTTTCCTGATGACTGATGTGGGAGGGTCCAGTCCCTTCCACATGCCACTCCCCAGTTGTGTAGGAAAGCCCACAGAGCAAGCCTTGGAAAGCAAGCCAGTAAGCTGTGTTCCTATGTTGCCTCTGCTTCGTTCTTACCCTGAGTTCCTGTCCTGATTCCCCTCAGTGAAGGACCGTGACCTGAGAGTTGTTAAGCTGAAACAAACCCTTTCCTTCCCTAGCTGCTTTTGGTCATGGTTTTTAGCAATAGAAACCCTAAGACACACTCCCCAGACTGATGAATGCCAACTATGTGCTAGGCTGTATTAGGAGGCATGGAGATAAAGAGGTGTAGCAAGTTAACAGAGATAACAACAACATCAATAATAATGATGATAAACCACCACCCCCAACAGAAAATACACTTTCCTCATAGCCTGTGGAAATGCCCCATGTTCCAATTCCAAGCTAGGTTCTGCCCTTTAAAAACTCCCTTTGCAAGGAAAATGTCATCGTAACCAGCAGAAACCTTACCCACCTCATTTGATGCACGTTTGGAACAAAATCATTTTTTTTAAATTTATAAATACCAAACCATGCAGACAATTTTATGGCCAATTCTTGCTATTTCAAAGGTAAGATAAAAATCTTAACGATCCAAGAAAGAAAAACAAGAAAAAAAGAGCATTTCCTTGAAATCTTAATTTCAGCCCTTAATTATTTTTTTTGCCTCATTTTATAGTTTTAAATATGAAAAAGAAGTCATCCCATGCGATTCACATCTTGTCTACAGCCTCCTCCATCATAACCCCTAGGAAGCCTCACAAAAGCTTCAAGTGTTTTGTCGCCAGATTTTAATTTGGCACAGGTTTTGATGAATGACTGCCTGGTTTTTGGACCCTTGCACACTCACATGTTCATCCGATGGCTCAGCCTGTATCAGTGCTGCCCAAATGAGCCAAGGGTTTACGAGACACACCTGACAAATGTTCCCGCCGGTAGATCCCTTCCATGTGCCAAGTGAACTTTGCTCCATGAACCAACATCAAGGAAAAGTGGACTAAGTGCCTTTAGACAACAAAGACTTGGCCCCTGCCCTGTATCTTGTGTATTAAACTTTTCCATGTATCTGAGGTTGGCCAAGTGCATGTGCAGGAATTCCCGGAGAAGATGTATTAGGCACACTGGGCCTTGGTCTCTCCTCTGCTGAATTAGTGCACAGCATCCATCTGTCAGGTTCCTTCCAGTGCTGATGTGACTGGCTTCAAGAGGCCATGCTGTCCTTTCCCTGGCCATTCTGTGACCCTGAAACAGACTAGCTGGGGTGGCTGAGAGAGCGAAGCAAACAAGGCCACTTGAGGTGCCTAATTATGAAGTGGGTATTTACCTCAATTTGAAAACACAGCATCCCTACTCATAAAGTCCAAAACTGGATACAACTGCATGAGCACAGATATGACACCACAGTGTAAAAATCCTTGTCTGACCTCATGATAGGTTCTGATCAAAACAAATCTTTGTGCACACATTCAAAAACTCCAAAGGGGGGAAACCCCCAAAATGAACAAAACTTCAAGACCACACACTTCTATCTTAAGCATCATATATAAAGGACAATCAATTAGCATTCTTAACAACAGTAATCGTGGCTCACACGTATGATGTTAACTTAATTTAGGTTTGGAGTCAGACCTTAGGACTGTGCCTAACCTAATCTTTTATTTGTTTGTTTGTTATGTTTTGTTGTGTTTGATTTTTTGAGACAGGGTTTCTCTGTGTAACAGTCCTGGCTGTCCTGGAACTCACTCTGTAACCAGGCTGGCCTGCAACTCGCAGAGATTCACCTGCCTCTGCCTCCTGAGTGTTGGGATCAAAGGCTTGCACCACCACTGCCTGGCTGTAATAGCCTTTTTAATTGTTTTTTTAAAGGCTGGGTCCTACTGTGTATACCTGGGAGGTCTGGCACTTGCTATGTAGACCATACTGGCCTCAAACTCACAGAGACTGGCCTGCTGCTGCCTCAGAATGCTTGGGGATCTGCCTGTCTCTGCCTGTCTCCAAGTGTGTCACTCTTAGCTTTTAAAAACTCTGAGATCCCATCGGTACTCCGATATGTAAAACAGATTTCTGTGAAGCTGCTCAGCTCTAAATAAAGAGGGGCTCAAATCTCATCTTCTTACTGTCTCCTAGGGGAGGCCTAGTGGTCACCTGTTTTGGAAACCCCTGTTTGTAACCAAATGAAAGACAGTACATGAACCGTACGTACATCCTGATTGGCCCATCTGAATGGATGAATTTGAGGGTAGATCAGACATACCACTGTCTGCATGGTCTCCTAGTCTTAAAAACACTGTGGGAGGCAGATACCACACTCATAATAGTTGCCCTTGTATTTGGGATCTTTGAAAAATCACTGTGAAAACTGCAACTCTAATCCAATAAAGCATAATAAATGCTTTTTAGAATTAGGGCTTTTCTTTTGACTAGGGTTGCAATGCATGCATTCTTGTGGGTTCTATATATGAAGCAGGATTCATTTCTGGCCCAGAGGAAAGAACTGGAGTGGACTGTTGCCAGTGGTAACCACAGCTTTGCATACTAGCTTCAGGTTCGCAGGTTTAGTGGTCACTTTTACTGAATGTGGACTTGTTGGTCCCTTCTGACCTTCTTGGAGTTGACAGGTCAGATGGAAGCCTGAGAACAGAGGGTCCTAGTTCCATGGACACACCTGGGAGGCATAAATGAGCCCTGTGAGATAAATGGTACTGATGGGTCACACGAAGGGCCTAGGGAAATCAAGGGCTTCTTCACCTGGGGGTTATTTTGAACAAGTAAGAAATGGCTGTTCTGGTATTGACTACCTGTCTGTCTGTTTGGATTCTCAAATCCCAGAGAAGTACTTGTTATGGTTTGGATGTGAAATGCTTCCCAGAGGCTTGCATGTTACCAACACTTGCTCCTCAGCTGGGGGCCATTTGGGAAGGCTGTGGAACCCTTAGGAAGTAGAGCTTTGCTGGAAGAAGTTGGTCAGTTGGGGTGGGCCTTGGGGTTTTACAGCTTGGCTCCGTTTCTTGCCCCTTCTCTGCTTCCGGACTGCAGATGCCATGTGGCTAGCTGGCCTCTGATTCTCCCGTCATGCCTTCCCTGCTATGATTAAATGTATCCTCTCAAACTGTGGGCCAGAATAAACCTTCTGAATGTAATTGCTGCCATAAGCTCATAGGGAATGGCACTGTTAGGAGCTGTGGCCTTGTTGGAGGAAGTGTGTCACTGTGGTGGCAGGCTTTTAGGTCTCATATATGCTCAAGCTACACCTAGTTCAGCCTACTTCCTGTTGCCTGTGGGTCAAGATGTAGGAAGCTCTGCTCCTTCTCCAGCATCATGTTTGCCTGCATGCACACCACCATACTCCCAGATGCCATGCTCCCGGACATGATGATAATGGAATAAACTTTTGAAACTGTAAGCTGCCACGTCAATTAAATGTTTTCCTTTATGAGTTGCCATGGTCATGGTGTCTTTTCACAGCAATGAAAACCCTAACTAAGACTCCTGCCTTCCTTCCTCCCTTCCTTAATTTGTTTTTATTTTATGTATATTGGTATTTTGCCTTTATGTATGTCCATGTGAGGGAATCAGATGCCCTGGAACCTGGAACTGGAATTACAGACAGGTATGAGCTGCCATGTGGATGCTGGGAACTCCAAAACCTTTTTTTCTTTAAGTTGCTTCTTGTAAGATATTTTTTGTCACAGTGGGAATTAACAAACATGCCAATGTGAAAAGTAACAGATCTCACCCCAATCCAGATCTGTTCAGACTGTAGGGAGGCTCACCGGGACAGTCTGCTTCAGCTCAGGGTAACTCTAGTTGAGTGTTGAGTGAGGCTTCGGTCACAATTGCATAAATGAAGGACACATGGATGCTGCATGACCAGCAATGGTACATGTTCAAGGCTCAGTGAACCGAACTGAGAGAGATTAGATGACAGCACTCTTTTGGTGTTGCAAGGCTATTCAGAGAACCTTGCCAACGGAACACACAACAGTCACCTGCTTCCTTTGAGCTCCAACAGCTGCTCCGTGCTAGATTTGAGGAGGGCACTCTGAGCTTCAGTTTGTGTTGTGGACTACGGTCTGGGCTCAGGAGTGGCAGCTTCTTATACTCCCCTTAGCTAGGGTGCCCTCTGCCATCGTTGGAGCCAGTGTGTCTGTACCAGTCCTGGCACTTCGGGAGCGGGGCGCATCCCAACCTAGCGTTCGCACATTTCTTTGAGGAAACCTTTCTGTCAGTTATTTGAGTGCACTTAGAAACTTAAGTAGCGTAATAGCTCAGGAAGCCTTGGACACGGGGCTACGGAGCCAAGGCGGCGAAGCCACAGGCCACTTGTGAACGGTTGAAAAGCGATGGAAAAGAAAGCTTTTGCAACTCTGAAAATATTTTGCCATTATTTCCTCTTGTGAGTCTAAATCATAACTTTTTTTTTTTTTTTAACAGCTTATCAAATGCCCTTAAGGAGAGTTAACGTTTGTGCAGAGCTTTTCCTGGGTTAGGGGCTTTTTGAGCCGCCGCTCCATCTACACGGTCAACTGAAAACAGTAAATGTGAGGGTGAAACAAAGCATGGCAGTCGTCAATATTAGATGCTTTCAGGGTCAGCTGCAGTTGCCACCAGCGCCAGACACCTCGCTATCCCAGAGCTAAGAACTGTGGTCTGATCTCAGCTTCAGATAGGGCTATACTGTGGTTTATGCTTCAGCACAGGTTCTGATTTGTTTCATGTGAGATGAACAGCGAGCCTGCTGGCACCTCTGCTGTCCAAAGGAAAGACTAGATTTTGCAAGGAGTTTCTAGGAGACATTCCTCATTTTCCTTCATCACCACATGGAAGCAAAATGTCTTAGTCCCAGAACTCCCAGAGAACCTGAACTTACCACCACAAGGCACTCTGCAACCTTGAGCAAACGAACCATGTTTGAAGTAACACTACTACATTTTTCTTTGAGACAAGCTCTTTATGTAACCCAAGGCCAGCCTCTTCCCTCAGCTTCTGGAGTGCTGGAATTAAAGATAGGTACAGCGACACCCTAATCACAGGTTAACTAAGCAACGGTAGGGAATTCCTGCCCTTGTAGAGCTCTAAAACTCAACTGGATATAAGTCAAGCAAGAGCAGTTTGTGTTTACAACATGCTTTTAAAAGAGTCATCACCACCCACTTCTCTATTAGATCAACTCTAAAACTCCAGGAGCACAATTCCTGCCAGCTTTCTACTTCCAATCCTCTGTGTTCCTCCGCCACGTATGTGTGCGCCAGTCTGGATTTTTTTTTTTTTAAATAGTGAGAAAACAAATGTTTATGGAAGTGCGTTTGCTGCTGAACATGAACATGAGAAGACACAGAGAGGTTGAGGACGCAGGTCCCTTACCATCCGTCTGGTAGTTGAGGGCTACAAGCTGTATCCCGTGGAGCCAGAACATGAGGGGATTGGGATTGGATGAGTCGATTCGGGTCGCCGCCGGGTAGGTCCTCAGTAGCTGACAAGCGGTGTGCTGGATCAGTTTCTGAGAATACCTGCGACACAGACGTTTGGCGGCATTTTCATTCAGTGAGGAGATATGATAGCATTTGGGAGTTCTAATGATAGCGCTGAGGGATGTGCTCGGGCTGACTGGAGAACACGATTCCTCCCAGGTTTGCCGAATTCCTTCATAGGAACCTAGACCCCCCGCAAAAGATCAGCCTCTGATTAATGTCAACACTTCAAACATTTTAGAAAGACTAATCTCAACAGAAAGCCAAACACACAGTTGCAACAAGGAAACAGAGCAGAGCAGAACGTATCTCGAATTTTACTTGGGAGTTAGTTTGCTACCTTGAAACAGGGTGGCGAATGAGTTTTATGAGTTTTAAAATGAGAGTAACATGGTGAGGTGTGGCTCAGTGGTAGGGCCCATGTCTAGCATGCACAACGATCTGGGTTCAATTCACACACACACACACACACACACACACACACACACACACACACACAATCAAAAAAGCAACATGAAGATAGTAACACCAATTAAATTGGATGTCTAGAAGCCCTTTTGCTTCTAGACATTGTTGTTCCTGTGTAATTTTTACAAAGTCTGTATGTAACTGTATAAAATTCACAAGAAAACAAAACTCCCTAAGCAAACCAAATGTTCTGTTGGTGACGTAGTTAATAAATACCCATATAAAGGAATATCCCACAGGCCACAGGAGGAAAAGACAGAAAAATGTACAGACTGGTGTGTGACCACTGAGAACACTAAGAAGTTAAAAAAAAAAAAAACTATGTTTGATTACATCCCACTTGGAGTTTCCTTAAAAGAAGTTTATTTTTCTTGAACAAATTACATTGAACTTCCCAGAGGGTCAACTCTGAGAAACAGCATCACAGCACTGATAATGGAAAGGAATTTTTATCACCTTATGTATCAGCTGGACTTTTAAGTAGGGGAGTTTACTATATTTATAATAAAGAGTAATTAGAAATAAAAGGACATGTCTTGTGGATGAAAGGTGCGGTTCTGGGAACCGTCGGAACTCTGTCAGGTGCTTCCAGTTTTACTTTTGAGGCAAACAGTGTGAGACTACCTTCAGCAAAAATACTATTTTTAGCGAGTTAAGAGAATACATTAATAATCAAAAGTATCTATGTTGTGCTTGGATAGTGTAAACAACTATGAAAATAAAAGTGAATTTCGAAACTCAAGGGAAGTGGTTAGGCAGAGAAGAATCTGAGTCATTCAGGACCAAGGGGAAACAGTGAGCGAAGGTGACTTTACTTTTTCCAGATGTTCTGTTGAAGGATGCTGCCTCTCCTGGGCTCATTCTGCCAGGATTGTTGCCAAAAATGGACTTCCTGCTTTTCCTTTCTTTCCCTCTGCTAGAGCCAGATGAATTTAGAGTCGACAGGCCTGTTCTCATAAAAAAGAAAATAAATAAGCCAAAAGCCACAGGCAAGAGAGCTCAGCATTGTCCATCCTCTTTAATGTTTATATTGAAGTCCTACTATCCCCTTGTTACACAGCACAGAAGGCCCGTTATACTTTAACATGGTTGATAATAGTATTGGAGGCAATTCTAGCAAAGTTTGTTTAATCTCTAGACAGATGCAACAAACACTGCACGGTTATTAAAGAATCATCCCCAAATTACAACATGTATGCACGCAGACGTGCGCACACACATACACCAAGTGAACTGTGTACCTGAAAGAGTTTTAAAATTGCATGCACAGATTATGCTGTAGTTAAGATCAAATTCCAAGAGGCCAACAATTCAAGTTGGGTAAATGAAAGGATGGATATGAGCCAGGGCATAATATTGTGGACATTATAAGCCTGGTGGTATTCTTTGTTGAGGCCTTGTGGGCTTTCATCCATCCATATTATTATGTTTCACTTATTATTGTTGTGTTTGTTCAGCTCATGTTTAGGCAGTCATGTTGGTGAGACTATGGGTATAGCTTCTGACATTCCTAGGAGACACATCTCATAATAAATTCTCAGGTCCTTTGGCTGTTACAATCTTTCTGTCTCTCTTCTACAATGATCCCTGGGCCTTAGGTACTGGAGTTGTTATGTAGCTATATCCTTTGGGACTGGGATCCACAACTCTGCCTTCTGGTTGGTTGTGGTTTTCTGTAATGGGCAATTAAGGAATGATGAAAGAGGAAGAACTAGTTATGGCCAGGGAAGAGCACATCAACTGGCTGTCTAATACCATACGCACCCAAAACATATATATAAATAACAGTATACAGACCAAGCGGGTTATACTATGTATTTAGGAATATACATACATGCATGCATGCATTCATACACGCACACAGACACACACACACAGACACTCAACAATTAATGGGAAACAAAAACATGCCATGAGTTTGAAAGAGAAAAAGGAGGAGGGGGTATATGGGATAGTTTAGAGCAAGAAAAGTGAAAGAGGAAATGATGTAATTATAATGCCAAAAAATGAAAGCAGTAATTTTAAAAATCCTTCTGACATGATCGTTGACCAAACTGTAGATTTTTCCTTATCTAAAAATGAGTGTGATTGTAAGAACTTACTCATTGGATTAGTCTGAGGGTTCAATGGGAAAGATATGATGATCATGATGATGACGATGATGCTATTTTATGGCTTTTCTTTCTCACTCCTGGTCCAATCACTCCTGGGTCCTTTACGGCAGGCACAGTGCCTGGTGCACAGGAGGAACTCAGTACATATTTTGCTGACTGAGAAAATGACTGCATACCACATAGAACCAACCTTACTATAAGAAGAGCGACTGAAAGGCTCCAAGGAAGCCTGTTGACATGAACTCATCCCTATTGCTGTTAGAGAGTGATCCACATGCTACACAGTTGGGAGATTTTCCTCAGAAAATGGGACACCAGCAAAGAAAGGACAGAGAAGTGTTTGAAAGCATAGAAAATCATATCTGACCCTGCTGGCGTGACCAAGAACCAGGGACCAGATAGCTCAGGGACCAAGGGTAAATCCAAACACTACTTAAAAAAAAAGTAGTGATGAAATGACTCCTAGTAATATTCTGCTGTACTCAAAGATACAGCCCATCACCAGAGAGGCTTCCTCCTGCAGCAGATGGTAACAAACACAGAGATCCACAGCCATAGATTATGGAGAAGAGAGGAGAGGAGAGCAGAAGGTAGAGGGGAAGGAGAGAGAGAGAGAGAGAGAGAGAGAGAGAGAGAGAGAGAGAGAGAGAGAGAGAGAGAGAGGCACTTTGGAATACTTAGAATACTTAGAGCTCAGGGACCCTGTGGAAGATGATGCAGATAGAGTGCCTGCGGTGATTGAGGACACCTAGAGAACAAGGCCTATTAAATCAACTGAGCCAAGCTCATATGGACTCTTGAACAGGTCTGCAACAGGTCTTCTGTGTATGTCATAGCTTTCAGTTTAGTGTTTTTATGGGAATCTTGAGTATGTGAATGACTGGGACTCTGATTCTTGTACCCTTTCTTGGGCCCTTTTCCTTCTGTTGGTTTTCCTGGTCCAACTTTGATGTGATGGTTTTTGTTTTATCATACTATATTTTTTTGTGTTGTTCTGTTGCTATCTCTTAGAAGCCTATTCTTTTCTAATGAGAGACAGTAAGGTATTCAGATTTAGTGGGGGTTAGGAATTGGAATGGTGGGAGAGAGAAAAACTGTAATCGGAATGTATTGATGAGAAAAGAATATATTTTCAAGGAGGAGTGGGGAGCACAGACAATGGTTTCAGAAAACCGAGGCTCAAAGAGGGGATTGGTGTTGGCCAAAGTCACAGATAACAGCCATGAAAAATCTTGCCTGACAACTTTGTCATCTAATATTTTTCTGGATGGACACACACACACACACACACACCAGACACTGGTCCCTTCTTCGAATGCAGAGTCCGAAATTATGTATTTTTGCGTGCATGGAGTATTTTGTCTGTGTACCATGTGCAGACAGGGCCCTTGGAGACCAGAGTGGGACACTGTACACAGACATATATGCAGGCAAACTACACACACACACGCATATATATATATATATATATATATATATATATATCTTTTTTTAATGGGAGGGACTACACACACACACACACACACACACACACACACACACACACACACGCACGCACGCATGCATGCTAAGTTCTGCGGTTATTTGCCATCAGAAATAATTAGAGATGGAAGAGGAACACAAACACATGCTTATAAATGCATGGAGGTCTGCAAAAGAAGACACCAAGATGGATGGAAGATTCTCAGAGTCTTCATAGAGTCTGGGAATTGGTGAAGGGGATTAGGGAGGATGGGCCAAGGTGAGAACATTCTTATTTATTCTCTATGATACTAGTTGGTTCATGGCCTTGTGCGGGCTGGCAAGCACTCACCCACTGAGCTGCATCCTCAACCTGAGTATATTCTGTCTGAACAAAGACCACAGTGCATGTCTGATGAGAGGTGGGTATATAGGGGGCTTGCTGGGAAGTATCCAAAAATTAGGAAGGTGGGTAACATTAGAAAACACTATGCCCCCGCTTTCCTAATAGAAGGAGGAGGGCAAGCTATGGAGGATTAAATGTAACTGAGAAACAAATCCTATTAGCAGATATAAACATAAAGAACTCCAGTTATGTCCTTGATCTTAAGAAAGAACACAGCCCTGGGAATCGAGACACCCAAGCTCTGCTCCCTGAGTGCTGGGATTAAAGGTATGTACCACCACTGCCTTGCTAGGTTATTTTACTCAGGGGACCTTGTGTGTGTGTGTGTGTGTGTGTGTGTGTGTGTGTGCGCGCGCGTGTGCTCAAATGTGTGTTTTAATCTTTTAGTACAGGGAATTGAATCTTGAATCTTTACAAATGCCAGGAAAGTCTACTGAGCTAATAATTCCACTCTTTTTTTTTTTTTTTAAAGGGTTGAGAAAGGGTCATTTAAAGTTGCCTAGGATGGCCTTGAAATCATTCTCTAGACAAGCTTCCAATTCACAATTCTGCCTTAGCCTCTGAAGCAGCTGGACTGTAGGCCTGTGCTCCTGGGGCCAGACTAGATAATGCTGAAAAGTGAGGTTCTCTGAAACTGATAAGGTAACTTATTAATTTATCAAACACAAAGCCAGCAAGGTAACAAAATAAACATTTTATAATTTCCTCATGTACATCAGAAAATTTTATAACAACAGTTAATTTTTAGAAATTATTACAATAGTGATGCCAAGAACATAATTTTAGTTATTCTGAGAAAGGGGATAAAATTACAGACAGGGCAGAGAAACTTTAATTGCTAACAAACGGCACATAAAGTATGTGTTCTGTCAGGTCAAGGGATAGCTCAGTGGCTAAGGATACCTGCTTCTCTTGCAGATTACCCGAGTTCAGTTCCCAATACCCACAGTAGATGGCTAACAATAGCTTGTTATTCTGCTCTGAGGATCCCAGGTCCTCGTCTCATCTCCTGGGGCATGGTGTGAGCTCCCCCCCCCCCAGAGCCCTAAATAAAAATAAAAACTTAAGAAAATAATATATGCTTTGTAAATGTTTTAAAACAATATATGAGGAACAACAGCCAGGTGTGGTGGAACATGCTTTTAATCCAAACACTTAGGAGGCAGAGGAAGATGAATCTCTATGAGTTCAAGACCAGCCTGGTTTACATAGAGGTCAGTCAGTGCTGTATAATCAAAACAAAAACCAAAACAGTCAACCAAACAAACAAAAAACAACTGCCTTGCCCTTCAAGTCAGGAGTTGGGCCAAGTGGCCCCCTGACACACAATTCTTTGTTTGGCATAACTTTATCTTTCCCACTAAATTGAAATAGCCATGGGAATTTGCAACAGTAATCTTCTTCTTCTTTCTTCTTCTTCTTCTTCCTCTTCCTCTTCCTCTTCCTCTTCTTCTTCTTCTTCTTCTTCTTTCTCCTTCCTCCTTCCTCCTTCCTCCTCCTCCTCCTTCTTTTTCTTTTGAGATGGGCTCACTCTACAGTTCAGGCTGGTCTGGAATTCACCACATTAGACTACACTGGCTTTGAACTTATGCCAATTCTTTTGGCTCTGCCACCTGAATGCTGGGATTATAGTGCTTGTGTAGATTCTTGAATAATATGACTCTCACACTTGATCTGATGCTGATAGGTTAACTTTCTTCCTCTAAAAAGTTTAACATTTTAGGTGTACATATGTGTGCCTACCTTTGCATATGTACAACATGTGAATGCCTGGCGCTCAAAGAGGACAGAAGAAGGCATCGGATCTCCTAGAACTGGAATTGGAGGTGGTTGTGAGCCATCTAATGTGGGTTGTGGGAACCAAACCTGGGTTCTATGCAAGAGCAGCAAGTGCTCGTAATTGCCAAGCCATCTCTCTAACCACATGAAACTAAATTTAAATGCTACTTTCCTGTACGTTTTGAAATATTTGCCGCATATTGATTCATTAATTCACTCACTCATTCATTCATATCCACTTCAACAGGATTTACTAGCAGATGAGCAATAGCAACTGCCAAAAGTTTTATAGTTTCTGGAAGGAAACTTAAAATTAAGAAAATTCTGTGATTTTTTTTTCATACGGTATGTAAGATGGACACTATTTATCTTAGGACCGAAATCTCCAATATCATATAAGATATTCTCTGTCCTCTTTGCCAGGTGCAATGTGTGAGAAGTGGTACTTACCAGGACCTGAGTTCAGCACATCTTGAGAAGATGAGGGTTGGGACTCTGACTCCTCTGTCCTGGCAAACATTATGTACTGACATTCACATGGGTCATCCAATCCTCCTATACACTGACATTAACATGGGTCATCCAATCCTCCTATACACTGACATTAACATGGGTCATCCAATCCTCCTATACACTGACATTCACATGGGTCATCCAATCCCAGCTCTTTCCTCTCCTCAGAGATTTTGGATGTGAGAAGTTTTTGTTTGTTTTGCATGAGATTATTTTTGTTGACTTCTAACTTTTTACTTTTATTTTTTATTTTACCTCTTGGTTTCCATTTTTGGGACACACAATTGGGTTGATAATACATTGATGATACACCGATGAGAAAGGCAGGGTAGATGCAGTTCAGGGAGGGCTTAGGAGACAGACAGGCAGATAGATTCATAGATCTCTCATTTATTAAATGAATACATTTTTCTTTTTATTTTCTCTATCTATCTCTCTGTCTCTTTCTTTCTTTTTGATTTTATTAGATAGGGTTTCTCTGTGTAACATCCCTAGCTGCCCTAGAACTAGCTCTGTAGACCAGGCTGGCCTCAAACTCACAAGAGATCCAATTGCCTCTGACTCCTGAGTGCTGGGATTAAAGGCGTGCACCACTACCACCCAACTGAATACATTTTTTTTTTTTGAAGTAGCTCATCACATTAAGTTCTTTGTATTAATAGAAATGGCCAAGTTCAGAAATTTCATCCTTTCCCACAACTCCAATCAGGTAGTTTGGGCAGAGCCCACAGCTCAGGTATGGGACTAAGTAGGCCAAGCTGGCCTTGAACTTGTGGTGACCCTCCCAGAATCAGACATTCAGATTTCCTCAGCCCCTCCGGTCACAGGGGTTGGTGAAGATTTAAGGAAGTAACTCAGTGAGAAAGAGTAACACTTTTGCTGGAGGTTCAAGAGGTCTCAGACCGAAGCTGAGTCTGGAAGCCTCTGGTGCTAGTTGGCTATGGCTACACCTCCCAAACTCAGTGGCCAGCAAGACAGATGGACAGATGGAAGGGATGTGCCCTGAACTGGACTGGACTGGACTGGATACTTGAGTATCCAAGTGCTACAATTTTTAAAAAGTATGTCAGCTGCCAAATTTCTTTCTTTGCTTAAGTCAATTTCTGTAGCTTTCAATAAGACTCTTTTTGAGGATTCTCTGAATGAAATCTTGGTGAAATGACTTGTTGTATCTCAGAATTTGTTTTATTTAAAATTGGGTGGGAGGATGCTGAGGAAGAAGGCTCAGCAGTGAAAAGCACTGGCTGTTCTAACAGAAGACCTGAGTTCAGTTCCCAGCTCACATGTGGCGGCTCACAGATGTCCATAACTCCAGTTCCAAGGGATCCAATCCCCTTTTTCTAGTGTCTGAAAGCACCAGGCACACACATGATGCACATATATTCACACAGACAAAACACCCATGTACCTAAAGTAAAACTAAACAAGTCTTTTGAGAGGTACAAGTAGAGATGCACTGACCTTGGAGAATTATTATGAAAAGTCAGAGATCATCTATGGGAAATATTTATTTCAGCCACACAATTCAGTTATGTCAAAGTATTCATAATGCCCCATTAAACAGTATAAACTTTTACTGTTTTACTGACTTTAAATGTTAAAGATGGCTATTGACTACTCTTACCTGGAAATTTTACTGCCTGGCAGTAGATGATGAGGTCAGAGAGTTCTGGCGCAATCTGTCTGCTTTCCTTTTTGTTTTGAGGGAGGTAAAACTCCTCCCCCAGCTCCATGTCATACACCTTTCAAGGGAAAATGACACCGTTTTATCAGGAGATGGAGTCCCCCTCATTCTAGAGCCCCAGAGCACTTTCTCTAGACTTTTCCCACATGGCAAGCATGCGTCCCCTTACTCAGCATTCCTTCACACTCATATGCCAGCAGCTTTCTGAGGGGAAGGGGTGTGTCTAGTTCATCCTTCCTGACTCTCAGGCTCACGATTTTGACGCTGCAGCTGTCTGAATAGATTTTCCCCCCAGTGTCTATAGGCTGTGCAGCACCCGAGCCGAGGGTGAGGCCGGGGTGCCTCCTGTGTCTTTCTGGTCTTTGTGTTGTTCTTGCTAACACTTTATCAGCTGCCTTCCTTTTATCTTCTTGGTGTAAATGACTTTAAAACCTCTTACAATTTCTTCAACAACCAAATTGCCCTCTTGGCCTGAATGCCCTGTTTCTGTGGACTTGGGCAAACTTTATTCTTACACAACATCTTCCACGAGAGCCTGTCCTCCATCCTCTGACAATACAGTGAGGTATCTGCCACAGAGATACCTCCAGTATCTGGGTGAAATAATGGCAAGTGGCAGGCAGGTGTCTTATGACATCTCCATGTGGTCTTTGGCATCTGAGGGAAATTGAGTGAGGAAGGGAGGGGAGGGGAGTCCCAGATGAAAGGGACAGATTACCAAGTCCCACGAACCACATAAGGAAAGCTGTCTCCTACCTTTCCCTTATTGCAAGAAGAGTTATCTGCTTTCTTTATCCTCTTGGGGATTTCTTCATTGTACTCAAACTGAAGCTTGTCTGCACAGGATTTGTTTTCAGGCTTGTCTTCCAGAATATTGTCTGAAAATGGGTGATCAGGCTTTAGTGAGGAAGAACCAAATGCAGGGTTAGGGTGTCCAGCCACCTGCATGTATCTACAAGACTGAGGTGCCGGCTATGCATTACAAAACGATGGCTCGAAGCACAATTTAAAACGCAGGTTATATATTTAGCCTCAGTTTTATGAACTCATTTACCAGTGGTTTTGGTACCATACAGACATAATCTAAATGAGAAGGCTCATCTTGACCAGCTGGTGGTATCCTGTGTCAAGAGACTGACAGCACACAGGTCTGGGGCGATCTAGTGGTTCTAGGTGCTTCGTTCATGAGTTAACCAGCCTTCCTTTGAAATGAAGCTATTTGCTTCTTGAAATGTCAAGGCCAATATTCATGGGAGAAGACTTATTGTTATGCATGATGCAAAGTTTCCCCAATTTAAATTATTCGGAGAGTAAAGTTTTCATGATTGCTGTTGTTAAGTTACAATCTTAAGAATACAATTTAGAAAAAATTATTTGTTTAGTGCATTGGGTGTTTTGCCTGCATGTATATCTGTATGAAGGTGTCAGATTCCATAGAATTAAGTTACAGACCACTGTGAGCTGGTTATGTGGGTGCTGGGAACTGAACCTGGGTCCTTTGGAAGAGCAGCCAGTGCTCTTAACCACTGAGCCATCTCTCCAGGCCCAAGAATGTAAGTAATTCTAAGTGTGGCAGATAATCTTAGACTTTTGCCATGTTTGGCATCTCTATTCAGGACAAGTTTAAAAGTCCAAGAAGTATATCATGATCGTGCTCTTTTAAAGTGAAAAACTAATATCTCATTCCAGATTTACTATCTTTTTGGACCACAAATGCTTAGACCAAGATATCCTTATAGCAAGTCAGGGCCATGCAGCTTACCAAGAGATAAACAATTTCACCACATTCCTATGCACAGAAGTGTCACAACTTCATGCTAACCAGACCCAAGACAGTAGGGACTTAATTCGGACATCCATGCAGTTAAAATACCGGGTTCAAACGGTGTTTACCTTCCTGACTGTTAGGAAGAGGGGAAGCAGTAAGGACATCTGCTACAGAGAAACAGAATCAGAAAGAAAATACAGGTAAGGAGAATTAAGACTGAGACAGACAAATCAAATGAAGGTGTGGCACAAAGCATAGGTTATGTCAGCTTAGGTTATAAGATGAGTGACTTAGAGACCTAATATCTTGACTGCCATAAATACAAGGACTAGCAGTAATGGAAATGCAGCCAATCCTGGTCCATGGGCAGTGGATGCAAAAGCATCAGGAGTTCAAGGTCATCTCCAACTACATAGAGCATTCAAGGACAACCTGGGATGTATGAGACATTGTCTCAAAAAAAAAAAAATTAAAAAAAATTTAAAAAAGAGCAAACACTGTTAATGCTATTCATGCCATAAGCTGCCCATTCATATTACTAGTTAGTGAGGACTATAACATCCCTGATATGGCTTTAATTAAAGTAGGAGAGATGAGACAGGCACTGCAACCACCATCAAAATCATATGCTTGCTAAGGCATTTAATGGTTGCCTACGTAAGCTGTCATAGGACAAACTTCACAAGGCACGCCATAACTTCAAGGCCTATTTGGGAGTCAGCCAGCCAGAGGGAAATTTTAAGTGAAATGGGAAATAACCGTGACAGTGGACTTTAGCTGTCATAGATCCCAGATGACTTTGTTGGAAGTGTTTGTGCGTTGGGTGGGAGTGGGGAGGTAATCACCAAACACTCAACCAATCTTTTTCACATTGTATCTGAGGGACTTATGATTCACAGTGAAAATTCATTGTTCAAAGTCTCATATACCATGGGAGTAGAGCCTGCTGAGCCTTCACTTTCAGCAAACGGTCCACCCCAGCTTTATACAATGCATAGGGCTAGTTTAAAACTTCCCTGGGGGAGCAGAGTTGAATTTCACTCCTCTACCCAAAACTAAACCAGAAAGATCTTTCTCTCCCTCTGTTTGCCATTTGCAAATAAATAAAAATAAATACCAAGAACAATAATTTAAAAAGCCTGAATTCCTGTTCTCAAAAGTACAAACAAAACAAAAAAATCCAACCAAACAACCCAACAAAAACAAAACAAACAAACAAACAAAAGAAAAACCCAAGAGTAACTAATGATAGAGAGAATTCATTTTTTGGTAGATCAACTTATTACAGGAAAATATAACATCTGGAATGACTGGAGTGACCGATTTCTTCTCCTTTCTTTCTTTTTTTGAGTTTTGTTTTGTGGTTTTTGTGTGTGTGTGTTTGTTTTGTTTTTGAGACAATATTTCTCTGTGTATCCCTGGCTGTCTGGGAACTCAAATTGTAGACGGCTGGCCTTGAACTCAGAGATCTGCCTGCCTCTGCCTCCCAAGTGCTGGGATTAAAGGCAGCAGACTGGCTGTTTTTTTTTGTGGGGGGGGGGCTTTAAAATAAAATCTTTAACAAGCATAAAACTTTATAAGACATAAGTGGTAGCTACCTATAATGGAATTTCTTCATATATTCTTTTTTTAAAGTTTTTTAAACTTATTTTTTACATTCCAATCCTAGTTCCCCCTCCCTCCCCCCCCACTCCTTTCACTTCCCCTCCTCCCATCTGCTCCATGGAGAGGGTAAGGCCTCCTCTAGGAAGTACTAAGTCTGTCCCATCATCTAGTTGAGGCAGGACCAAGGCATCCCTCCATCACCCCACGCCTGTGTCTAGGCTGGGCGAGGTATCTCTCCATATTGAATGGGCTCCACCAAGTCAGTTTGTGCATTAGAGTTAGATCTTGGGCCCACTGCCAGTGACCTCATGTATTGTCCCAGTCACACCAGTGTCACCTATATTAAGGGAGTCTAGTTAGGTCTTATGCAGGTTCCCCATTTGTCAGACCTGAGTCAGTGATCTCTCATTGGCTCAGGTCAGCTGATTCTGTGGGTTTTCCCATCATGGTCTTGACTCCTTTGTTCATATTTTCACTCCTCTCTCACTTCGATTGTACTCCAGGAGCTCGGCCTGTTGGTTAGTTACAGATTTCTGCATCTGCTTCTGTCTGTTTCTGGAAGAGGGTTCGAGCTTCTCTAGGGTTATGGGTTGATTATCTTTTGCTTTTCTTCTAGTATTCACTTATGAGTGAGTACATACTATATTTGTCTTTCTGGTTTTGGGTTACCTCACTTAGGATTTTTTTTTTCCTAGTTCTGCTCATTTGCCTGCGAATTTTAGGATGTTATTGTTTCTTACTGCTGAGTATTACTCCATTGTGTAAATGTACCACATTTTCTTTCTCCATTCTTCAATTGAGGGGCATCTAGGTTGTTTCCAACATCTAGTTATTACAAACAATGTTGCTATGAACATAGTTGAGCAAATGTCCTTGAGGTTTGAATGTGCCTCCTTTGGGTATATACCCAACAGTGGTATGGCAGGGTCTTGGGGTAGGATGATCCCTAATCCCCATTTTATCCCTTTTATTACCTCATGGTATTTTAGATCAAATACCTAGGCCTTTAACTGATGCCATGAAACAACCAACTATTATGAAAGCTAAATACTAAATTGATATTACTTAGTATTATGTTTTAGGTCAGACTACAACTAGACTGTCAACAGTAATGAAGGCTCTGAACTGAAACATGATTGGAAACAGTAGAAGCTGTTGTGGAGGTGACTTAGCGGTCTTACATCAGTGGTAAATGGTTACTAGTGTGGGCACAGCTACACGTTTAGCAAATACCTTAAGCAGCATGTGTGTGCCAGGGATCAAAGGGCAAATGCTCTACCACTGAGCCAAACCCTCAGCCCAATACATTATGCTATGAAGGAGATGGAATCAGGAGGATCAAGACTTGCAGGCCGGGACTACACAAAGAATTTGGTCTCATTAAAAAAAAAAAAAAGTTTATACAATTAAATACCTTGAACTTTGAAATTTCCTCATGGGAATACTGTTGCCTTTTAGAGGTCAGCAAGGAGGAAGCCCATTGTCAGTAATGTTGCAGGAGAAAACATTTTGTAATCTCCTGCTAATGACACTAATTATGTGTAAATTCTACGAGAAGAATGATTCACTAGGAACCTGACTAGTTAGTTAACATGACTTATTTGATTTTTAAAAATTGTGTCATTAGCCATCATCACTCATGGTCTTCTCTTTGGTGGGGCCGGAAGGAAATGTCTTGTTGGTTTAGTAACCGGAGAACAGGGAGGAAGGAGACAGATGCTCCTCTTCTTGGTGACAGACTGCCAGAGGGATAGTATGGCAACGAGGAGGAGAGCACTGGGCAGTGAAGCTGTCCCCTGCAGATGTCACTGGGGATGGGGGAGGTGGGGGGCACAGTCTGAAACGGCTGCCAAGAGCTTGTACAGCTCCAGAAGCTCGAAGGCTGAAGACGTGTTTTTCTGCTATTACTCCACCTCTTCCTCTACAAGCCCACCTTAGGAAAGACACCCCCACACCACCCCCCACTGCTTCCTGTGCAGTCCTCATCTTCCTGGGGTGTGGCTGTGATGCTTCACACAGCCCCTGATCTTCCTTGGTCCTCACCGAGTGACTGGATTTTCAAACTTCCAGACATTATTAAAACAATCTCTACTGCTTATCTATGGAGTTCCAGATTTATTTTCGGGGGGAAGGAGAGGGAGAGGGGAGAAGAAAAATCACCTAAGCATTTCCCTGCTCACAGAAGCAGGCTCTGTTTCTCTTACCATCGGAAAGGGATTCATAATCATAATCATATTCATCCTCTTCATCGTCCTCTTCCTCATTACTGGCAGGCGGGGGGTTGGCATTCCCACCAGTGAAAGCCTGTGCGTGCATGGATGCTAACTGATGAGCCTGTAAGACAGCAATAATTAAAGACTGCACATACAACCTCCTGAGCTTCCACCTAAGCCTTTAAAACCACCACCTGGTGATGGAAGTGGACTACCCCTTTGGGTTCCTTTGAGAGAGGAAGAAAGTATCTGGACGCAACAGAAACATTGGCATGAAACAGGAACTCGCTTGAGGCTTTGACTCCTCATTTCGGCCCACAGATAGCGGAAACCGGCGTAGCATCTTTGATGCCATTTTGTATCTGGGTTCTTTACTTGGAGTTTCCTGCTTCCCTTGGCACACAGGCATGATAATCACTCAGGGAGTGCCCTCCTAACCTGTCTCATCCCCCATCAAGGCTAAGGAACAGAGATAAGCCATTGTCCTTAACCTTTCCTCATAAGTCACCTTGGATTCCCAGAACAGCAGAACTTCATTGAATAGACCCCCACCCCCCAGATGAGGGCAGGTATCTAGGATGGGAGACTGCTCCCTGAATCAACAGTACTCTCCCAAGAATCTCGTTGTCCCTCGAGGAATAAGAACTTCTTCGGACCACTTGACAGGTCTGTGCTGAGAGACAATGATGAGCTCGACCACACCTTGACTGGACTGGTTAACAGTGCACCCTCTTGCATTCCATTTAAAGCTAAAGCTCCTGTCAGTGTCCTGAAGATGGACTTGAGGTTATGAGTTCCTCCATCTGTCCTTTCTCCCAGGAGAGTCATACTGAATGGGTCTCTTCTCATTGCTTTACACCACACACGTGCTTCTAATCGGCACATTGAGGGCCAGTGGTTGAGCTTAGTTTCTTGGGGATGCCATAGCCCAGTCTTTGGCCTTAAAAATTCTAGATACAACTTTTAGGTGGATGTCAACATCCTTAAAGAACTTGGGAGCTTTTTAGAAACAATCACAAAGAAACTTGTGTGTGGTGTCTGGATTTCTAGGCTCTCTGGGAAGTCCTGCAAGAAAAAAAACTCTAATGCTTGGAAAACTAGCATCAGTCCCAAGGGACTGAGTGAAACAGCCCATCAATTTTAGAGCAGGAAGTCTCAGTTAAGAAACTAATTTTTTTTCCGTCTTAAAATAATATTGAAAGCCCTCTGACCTTGAGAACAATGCTAGAATCCCTGTGGACAAGCAGACCACAAGAACAGTTGCTAGTTTAGAAAACACGTTTTCAACAGACGTTATCAGAGCTATAAATCAAAATAACAAAACAGGCTTGGAAATGTTAGGAAACCTGGGGCTAGACAGATGGTTAAGAGTGCTTATGTGGAAGCTCAGCTCCAGGCCTGGGGGAGATGGCTCAGAAGCTAAGAGTGCTTGTTCTTGCCAAAGATCTGGTCTCAACTCCCGGCACCCATGTGGTGGCTCATAACCACTCATAACTCCAGTCCCAGGGGATCTGATGCACCAGGTGTGCTCACAGTGAGTAAAAATACATGCAAGAGAAACACTCATATACATAAAATAATACCAAATTATTTCTTTTAAAAGTAAGTTCAACTCCAGGGGGATCTGATGTTTCTGGCCTCCACAGGTACCTATGCCTAAATCATGTACACATGTTCTCTCTCTCTCTCTCTCTCCCTCCCTCTCTCTCTTTCTGTCTCTCTCTCTCACACATTCATATATGCACATATATAATTAAAGATAACAAAAATAAATTATTGAAACAAAAATTTAGGTAATGTGTCGAAACATAATAGTGAGTCAAGTGATATGTCTGAATACAGGATGAATATAATACTTCTCAGAGGAGTTTTCAACATCTGTGAGATAATAATAAGAAAGCTGTCTTTTCTCCCAGTGAAAAAAGACATATATTAGGTATTGCCTAAGCTACTTGGTTTCTCCCTATGTTTATAATCAGAAGAATTGCTAAATTAGAGATGAATGAACATAAAGATGAATGAACATAGAGATGAATGAACATAAAGAGTTGACAGGATGGCTCAGCGGGTAAAAACACTTGCCACACAAACATGGCAACCTGAATTAGATCCCTGGAGCCCACGCTGGAAGGAGAAAACTGACTCTGGAAGGTGTCCTTTGACCCCCACGTTCGAACTCTCTCTTTCATTAACACGAATAATTAAAAGTAAAGACACAGTTTGTTTTCATTTCTATTCTTGGGCTCCTTCTGGCTAGTTTTATGCCACTAGGGAAGAGGGAACCTCAGTTGAGAAAATGTGCCCATCAGGTTGGCTTCTAGACAGCCTCTGGAGCCCGTGGGCAAGCCCATGGGACATGTTCTTGATTGAAGACTGATGTGGGAGGGCCCAGCTCACTGTGGGCGGTGCCATCCCTGGGTGGTGATCCTAGTGTTATAAAAACTCAACTTGTGCAAGCCACGAGGAGCAAGCCAGTAATCAGCTTCCCCCATGGCCTTTGCATCAGCATTGGCCTCTGGGTTTCTATCTTGAGTTCCTGCTCTGACATCCATCAATGATGGACTCTGACCTGAGAGTTGTAAGCTAGATTAAACCTTTTTCTCCAAAAATTGCTTTTGGTCACGTTTTACCATGGCAATAGAAACCTAGTGAAGACAGACTCCCCAACTTTTAGCTATGGACATTGCCAAAGTTATGAATTGTTTTTTTCCAAGACAGGGTTTCTCTGTGTAGCCCTGGATGTTCCGGTTCTCCATCTGTAAACCAAGCTGCCTTCAAACTCAGAGACCCACCTGCCTATGCCTCCCAAAAGCTGAGGCTAAAGGTGCATGCCACCTTGCCATTGATTTTAATTTTTAAATATTTAACAAAAATCAGAAATTACATTTACTTATTTTATTGTACATTGTGTGTGTGTGTGTATGTGTGTGTGTGTGTGTGTGCATTTGTGTCACAGTATGTATGGGGTTCAAAGGACAACTCCAGGAAGTTGGTTCTTTTTTTGCACCATATGAGTCCAACGAAGTGAACCAAGGCTGTTGTGCTTGATTGTGTGTGCTTTTACATGCTTCGCCACTTTACCATCCCATATTCCCTAATTTTTTAAAAAATGTGGCTGTGTTATCTTTGTAATAAAAAATGTGCAAATAGGGAAGATGCAGTGGAGGCCGTGTCTTGATAAAGAGAAGAAGATCTTGATCAAATATTCTACAGTGCTGGACACCTAGATTATTAAATGCTCACCGGCGAGGCTCAGATTTCTCAGAGTGAGTCTAGGAGCCTTGTGGGTGCTAATGGCTAGCGTGGAAAAACTGAGAGCCTAGCCACTAAATGCAAGGCAAGCCTGGGAACAGCAGCTTAGCCAAAGAACACAGGGCTTTACAGCCTTCATTGAACATGCTAACGGGTGTCATGCTCTCCAGTGCAGCATTTCCCACTCTAGCCAGTCCCTCCCTCCCTCCCTCCCCTCCCCCTCCCTGCCTCCTCCTTCCCTCATTAAAACAGTATGCATTCTTTCAGATCTCCGTTTATACACATCCCATCTGTGCTGATCTACGTTACTCTGCCCTGGGTAATGCACTCTATACTTACTGCTTCTTACACCCTACCCTATTTCTATGCCCCTCTTTTTTTTTTTTAACAATAGACCTGTATACAATAAAGTAAAATATATAAAATAAAAGATGAGAAGAAGGAGTGGGAGGAGGAGGAAAGGAAATGTGGGAACAGTGTTCTGGAAGAAACAGCATCCTCTGCTGGGCGGCCAGTCACTGACATCTAAGGAAGACCAGTTAGAGTATACACACATGCTAACAGTTAAAAAGCTTCACTACAATGCCCATGTACAGTTGTTACGGCTTTCAGGACTAGCAAATGCTAGTCCCCTGGAGAGGGCTTAGGGCGAGGTGTTCATAGAGAAGATTTGAAACTTTTGGGCCTTGGGGGAAGTTCATCTCCACAACAGACTTGCTTGGATAGTGTGGTGGTTCTCAACCCTCCTAGTGCTGTGACCCTTTAATACAGCTCTTCATGTTGTGGTGGCCCCCAACCATATAATAATTTTTGTTGCTACTTTATAACTGTAATTTTACTACTGTTATAAATCATAATGTAAATATATATATATTTTTTTGGAAGCAGAGGTTTGCTGAAGGGGTCTGGGCCCTCAGATTGAGAACCACTGGGCTAATGCAACACTTTTCTTTTTAAAAGAGACAGGGGTCTCGCTGTGTCTCCCAGGTTAAGCCCCAGTTCTCGGGCTGAGGTAGCCATCCCATCCCAGCTCCCTTGGTAGCCAGAATTACAGGGACACACAGCGGGTGCTCAATGGAGATAATATTTTAACTTCTTTTAAAGTAATTTGATTAGGGCTGTTCAGGCGTGGGGGCATGCACTCTCTGCTCTCACTGAGTCCGTCTGCCATGTTTCCAGGGCCTCCTTGTGCTGGTCTTTCCTGTCTGGCTACTGAAGGTGACAGATGGAACAGATGTATTGGGGTTGTGTGACCTTCAGGTACAGACACTTCTAAGGATATGTAGGTTCAGACACTTCTTAATTAAAAACAATTTTTAAGTGTGTGGATGTTTTGTCTGCACTTTTGTCTGGGCACCGTGTGTGTGCAGTACCCTCTGAGGCCAGAAGAGGGTGCCAGATCCCCCGGGATTGGAGTTACAGCAGGTTGTGAGCCGCCCTGTCAGTGTTAGGAATGGAACCTTGAATTCTCCGGAAGAGCAGCCAGTGCTCTCAACTGCTGAACCATCTCTCCACCATTCTCTTGGGTACTTTCAAAAGGAATCCACATCTGGGCCTTCAGCATCTCTGTGCATGTATCATTTAAACAATAGGCTCGTTGGGAAACAGCTGACATCTCGCCCCTCCTCCCTACACTTTTCGCAAGGGTTCAATCCTGTTCAAAGAGAGGCGGAGCTCTCACTCGCCAAGCATCTTTGTATGATGCTTGAGGTCAGGTGAAAGGGACACTCAAGAATGTGCAGCGCCTGAGCGAAGGTCCCCAGGAAGTTTAGGAGACAAGGGAACACCATTGTATCCACCTGGTAAATACCTACAAGGGCGAACGTCACTTCCTCCTCTTTCTCTGACTCCTTCCTGACTTCTACCTTTCTTGAAGTGAAAATTCAATATCAAGCTGGTCATCACAGGGGTGAGAATATAATGCATATCTGAATTTTTAAACAGAAATTAAGTCTAGCAGTAAAGTTAATTGATTCAGCAGTGAGGTCTATTTTGCATATAATATTTGTAGGTATATAGATGTAAATGATATAATAGGAATTATATCCTATAAATGTTTCAACTTGTGATAAGATTTTTAACATTCCAGGAACGTATAGGTAGGCCTTGGGAGCACAGACCTTCCATCCCAGTATTCAAGATGGAGAGGCAGGGGTCACACATCATCCTGCTTAGAACAAACTGAACAGTGGAGGCACATTTCACATGGGTACAATCCACAAAATAAAACGTTAGGTTAGTGGGAGGAGAGAATCTATCTGTCTATGAATTAGAAATCTCCAAATCAAGTGTTTCAGTTGAGGGATCTCAAGGCTCACTGTTATGCAGCAAGTCACTTGAAAAGTCCAAATGGCATTAATTGCCTTGTCCCAAGCCCATGACATATCCCTAACTCGCTTAACCAGAGAGGAGTACCTTTTGTTTCAGGATGTCGACTGGCGTCTGATGGGCCTTTAGCTTCTTGTTTTTAAGAAGCACTTTCCTCCTAAGTTGGTCAGGTGAGGGAAGCATTGGATCATCCGAAAAATCTGTCTCGAATAAGAATTTAGCCACCAGCTTTTCTCCAAACACACTCTACAAAGCACAGAGGAAAACTCACCATTAATGCCTTCTGCCTCTACTTGACAAATACATTTACATCCCCTAGATGTACTGGATAGCTCAACTTAGTTGAATTGTTTGAGAAATCCCAGGAAAAGGAACTACAGAAGAGGTTGTTTATTCTCTTGGCAGTTTCCTGCAGGAAGGAAGGGATGCGTTCAGGGCAAGGGGGGAGACCTAGGTCAGTCTGGAGAGGGAGCCAGCTGTGATGACTTAGGAAAATGTTCCAGAGTCTAATGTATTAAAGACGAAAGCAAGCAGAGATTTGATGAGCAGCTGTGGTTTTGCAAGTGAACAGAAGAGACGAGAGCAACAGGGTACATTTGCTCCAACAATGGATAAAGAATACATGTCATTTTTTACAAGGACTTATGAACACTGGTCTCCAAAGAAGACTGTCTCTCTTAAGGAGACCATGGGTGGAGGGTAGACACAGGGTGATCACTCAAGGCCAGAATAGAAAGTATGACAATTTTTTATATCTAGCTATTTTTAAATAAACATGAGCAAAAATTCCAAGCGCGGGCTAGGGCGATCTGAAAAGCCAAAGTTCTGCTGGTGTTCATATTGGAGGATATTTCCATGTCAGTGCTCCCTCCTTTCGTGAGAACTACGTTTCTCACTGGAGAAACGGGGGGGGGGGTGTCTTATGGAATATACCCTCCTTAGTCGGTCTGTGTTACATTTCCCTAGTATAAAGTAGATTACTATTAACACAGAAAGTGTTCTGAACAGTCTAACTTGCTAACTTGGATCCCTAGACTACAGTGTGAGTCACATGAATACGTGACTTTCCCCAAAACAGTTACAGTTTTTCCTTGTACAACTGCCAGGTGACATCTGGTGCTCTTCCTGGTAGTATCAGGTACATGGTAGAGTTGGTCTATCCTTACTGAGGCTTCCTGGAAAGGGCCAGGAGACCAGAAAAAATACCTATGTTGAAAAGAGGAACCATCTTAGATCAAGCCTAAGCTTTCTGAGCAATGCCAGTTTTTGGGTCTGTAGAACCCTAATAGAACATGCTTCATGGCTATAAAGTCCAGCTATGTTGTGGTCCACATCCACCCTATATAGATACCACCACCAAAGGAAAGACAATAGTGTCTTAGATGAAGCACACCTTGAAAATGTCTGCCATTTTTCGTTGTTGAGGCAATGAACAGTGGTTCTCAATGGATATGATGATTGGCAGGTCAGAGGTAATGAAGGCACTGCGATCGATGGCTTCCACCACTTCCTGTAAGAGTCGAACAGCTGCTTAGAGTCAGGTGTCTGTTCAGGGTAGTCAATAGGCTGGTACTGAACCACAGAAAGTGTCTTAATTGTTGCATTCAACAGAGTTTGGACAAATGTTTTTTATCTTTTCAAAAATACAGTTATCTCTCTAGATCTGTGGAAGGTTAATTACAGGACCTCTGCAGATAGAAATCTATATGATGCTCAGTTCTCATAAAAATGGCGTGATATATATATATATATATAAAATTTCCATAAATCCATCTTTCTATGTACTTCAAATAGTCCTTATATACTTAGAATCCCCAGTATACTGTGAACACATTGTTTCAAAATAATGACAAGGGAAATGTATACAAATTCTCTACAGACACAATTTTACCCCACTTTTGGATCTATAATTGTGTGGTTGAGTCCAGGGATGCAGAACCCATAGCTAAGGAGGGCCAAATGTCTTTGTAAACTAAGCAAGAGACTAGGCTATTTTGCATAAAGACATCAAACTATTCATATTGAGCCATGTTCCCATATTATAAGGGACAACTACCATTATATTGAATTGAAAAAAAAAAAAACAACTAGTATGTCAAGAAAGAATACCTTAAGTAAAAGATAATTGTTTTTGTTATAGCATATAATATAATGATGCCTAAGACACACTGAAATAGTTAATCCTGCATTATGGCACACACCATATCTTTTAATATATGTCTGTAAACATAGTCATTCACTAATATACAGTGTAAGAGCTTCATGAATGATAAATAGAAAATAAGTTGAAGGAAAAAATGCATTTTAGCTACTACTCCATGTAATCATATTCCTTCCCAGACTTGCTCAGAGAAAAATGATGTTAGGTAGCTTAAGACCCTCTGAGGGAGGAGTAACTGCATAGCCAAACTAATAAGCTATGTAGCATATAAAATAATCTAATAATGCCAGTCCTCTGGGATAATGGATCTTCCCAGGTGAAACTGGTTCTTATTACTTTCTAATGGTAATTACTTAATCATCTTCTGACATCAGGAAATCTCCATGATATTTTCCTTTGTCAGCCCAGATAGCAGGATAAATGGCCTTTAATTTCTCTAGGAAGAGAGTGGTCTCTGTCTTTATTTATCATTATATCATATGAAAATAAATAGCTGAAAAGGGATCTAGTAAGAGTTCTTGATCAAATCCTGGAAAAGCGAACCTGTTCACCCCACAGTACTGCAAACACTCTGAAGGGCTTTCAGATCTAGTGCAAGAACCTCTGACTTAAGGTATAATTTGTTGAGTGAGTGACTTAATGAAGACCGTGTCCCTGTGGTCTGATGGAAAGCATTACCTTGAAGGGGATCTTGGTCGTCAGTGTGTGTCCATGATAAATAATGGGCATGCCGTCATCTCCGTCCCAGCAGTCCAGCTCTATGCTCCTGCATCCTTGCAAGAGGACCTGTGTGATCAATGAATGAGTCCACCCCAGATGAGCACCAGCAGATAAAGCCTCAAACCGAACCAAGCACACAGTTCATATCAGTCAGCATTTGCATTTATGGATAAAGAAGCTGGCTATTAAATAAAAAACAGATAATTGGCGTTTCGGTTAAAGGACACAATTAACATGTGTTCAGGGATGGAAAGAACAAATCAATGTGAGAAGAATGCCAGAAATGAAGATTGTTAGAAGGAAAAGTGAGTGTAAGAGCATGCCCTCCCTCCCTCCCTCCCGCCCTCCCTCCCTCCCCCGCCCCCTAAAGTATCTTTCATTCTTTGAAATGGAAGACCTTAAAATTAGAGATCTTTCTGTGTTCTTCAGCACTCAGTCCCCCAGTCTTGCCCCAAGGGCTGCCACTGAACGCCAGCTGCAGCCTTTCCTTACGCCTGCCCACGTCTCCCAGGGATCCCACAGACCACCCCTTCTAACCTCCCTGCCCTGACTCGTGGCTGTGTCCTATCCCACAACTCCAGCGGGCACAGGCTGCTAAAACACAGGCCACCGCGCAGACCTTCTCCTTTCTCTCTGTCCCACCAGACTCAAGCCCCACTCTCCTCCGTAGCACTGAAACAGAACATCAGCTGCAGCTTTCCCTCATCTCTGCCCACATCTCCTGTGTATCTCACAAGCCATCTCCTCCTAACCTTCCTTCCCCAACTTCTTGCTTTGGCTCAGACCCCAACTCCAACAGGCATTTCCTGCTAACCCAAGGGCCACTGTTCCTAGGGTAACAAGTAGGCCACTCCTACTGCTCCTGAGATCCAATCCCCCCTAGGCATTGGATCTCAGTAGCTGGAAGCCTGGGGCAGTCTCCCTTTCCTCTGTGTCCAGTCTCCAAGGGATCACAAAGACTGTCTTCCTCCAACTTTCCTTCCCCTGACTCATCCTATTACCTAGCCTCCAACATGGGTAGGCATTTCCTGTGAACACACCAGCTAAACAGGCATCACACTCTCTGAAAATTGAGAAGAGAAATAGAAGCCAAGAAACAAAACATCTCTTCAACAAAGACAAACCCAGAAATCAGTACCTAGACCTATAATCAGCCCAAAACCACATACCTAGATGCCAGCATAAAAACACAATCAATAATAGTCCGGGAAATGTGTCTGCACTATAGCCCTGCTAGCCTATGACATCAGATACTCCAACAGAGCCGATGATATGAAGATGATAGAGGTTCTTAAATACGAAATTAATAAAAAGCCAGGAAAAGTAAGGAAATAAGTAAAACTTTTCAAGACCAAAAATTGGAAATAGGATTTTAAAACACCCTCAAACTGAGGGAGCTGTGAAAACGAAAACTTTATGATTTTAAATTCAAACTTAGGCAGACAGCTTCACCAATGGAAAATTAGAGATCGAAGAGAGAATCTCAAGTGTTAAAAGATATGACAGAAGAAATGGATACATTGGTCAAAGAAAATCTGGGACACTATAAAAGGAACAAACCTAATAATAATTGGTATAGAGGAAGGAGAAGAACCCAGTTCAAAGGCCCAGAAGATATTTTCAACAAAATCATAGAAAAAAAATTTTAATCTAAAGAAGGAGATGCCAATAAAGGCACAAGAAACATACAGAATAACAGATATATTGGACCAGAAAAGGAAGTCCCCTCACTACATAATAAAGCACTGAACATACAAAACAAAGAAAGAATATTAAAAGCTGCAAGGGAGAAAGACCAAGTAATATCTAAAGGCAAACATGTTAGAATTACATCTGACTTCTCAATGGGTGACTCTAAAAGACAGAAGGGCCTGGATGGATGTGCTGTAGACTATTATACCCAGCAAAACCTTCAATCACCATAAATGGAAAAATAAGATATTCCATGATAAAGTAAAATTTAAGCAATATCTATCTACAAATCTAGCCTTACAGAAGGAACTAGAAGAAAACCTTCAATAAAGGAGGCTAACTACACACACAAAAAAGGCAGGAAATAAATAATCTCATACCAGGAAAATCAAAAGAAAAGAAGGACACACACACCACCACCACCACCACCACCCCAACAACAACAAAACAACAGGAATCAACTATCAATCGTCATTGATATCTCTCAATGTCAATGGTCTCAACTCATCACTAAGACGACACAGACTAACAGAATGGATATGAAAATAAGATTCATCCTTCTGCTTCATCCAAGAAACTCACCTCAACATCAAGGACAGATATTAGCTCAGGGTAAAGGAATGAAAAAAGATATTCCAAGAAATGGACATATGAAGCAAGCTTTAATATGAAGCAAGACACTTTAATATATAATAAAATAGACTTCAAACTGAAACTAACCGGAAGAGATAGGGAAGGACATGACATATTCATCAAAGAAAAAAATCCACCAAGGTGACAGCTCAATTCTTAACATCTATGCCCCAAACACAAAAGGGTGCCCAAGTTTGTAAAAGAAACATTACTACAGCTTAAATCATATATAAATATCATATATAAATCCATACACTTATGGATACCTGGATTTTGATAAAGGAGACAGAAATATACAATGGTAAAATGAAAGCATCTTCAACAAATGATGATGGTCTAACTGGATGTTGATATATAGAAAAATGAACTTATCATCCTTTACAAAACTCAAGTTCAAATGGATCAAAGACCTCAACATAAGACCAGATATACTGAACCTTATAGAAGAGAAAGAAGAAATAGCCTTGAATTCATTGGCACAGGAGACAATTTCCTGAACAGGACACTAATAGCACAGGTAACAATAAGAGTAAATAGGATCCCATGAAGCCAAAAAGCTTTTGTAAGACAAAGGATACTATCAATCAGACAAAGCAACAGATTACAGAATGGGAAAATATTTTTTACTAATTCCACATTCAATAGAGGACTGATATCTAAACTCAAGAAACTAGATATAAAAAATGAATAATCTAATTTAAAAAATGGAGTACAGATCTAAAGAAAGAATTCCTAACAAAGGAATCTCAAATGGCTGAAAAACACTTAGAGAAATGTTCAATGACTAAAATCCTTAGCCATCAAAGAAATACAAATCAAAACTACTTTGAGGTTCCATCTTACACCTGTCAGAGTGGTTGAGATCAACACAAATGACAGTTCATGCTGGCAAGAATGTGGAGCAAGGGGACACTGATCCATTCTAGTGGGAGTACAAACCTGTTTGCAATTCCTCAGAAAATTGGGAAGACTTAAGACCCAGCTATGTTACTCTTGGGCATATACCCAAAGGATGCTCCTACCATAAGGACACTTGCTCAAATCATGTTCATTGCTGCTCTATTCATAATAGCCAGAAACTGGAAACAATCCAGATGCCCCTCAACAGAAGAATGGATAAAGAAAGTATGGTACATTTACACAGTGGAGTATTACTCAGCTGTTAAAAATGGTATCTTAAAGTTTGCAGGCAAATAGATGGAACTAGAAAAAAATCCTGAGTGAGGTAAGTCAGACACAGAAAGATAAATATGGCATGTACTCACTCATAAATGGATATTAGCTGTTAAGTAAATGATGATCAAGCTACAATCCACAGGCCCAGGAGGGGCTAGGTGGGATACAGGAATCTTCTTTGGATATGGAAGTAGAATAGATTTTGCAGGTAGACTGGGGGCAGAGGGGGACAGGAGCCAGGGATTGGGTGATGGGGGGAGATGAAGTGGAGGTAAAGAGATGGGTGGAGTTGAGGGGGGATTCTGGGGGTTGTGGAAACCTAGTGCAGAGGAAATGTCTTGGAATGTATGTAGGTGATCCCAATGAGGATTCTTAATAATGGGGAAACTATGGGAAGTGACTGAGAGAGCAAAGGCAGAGAGAGCATAACAGGATTAGAAATGAAGCAAGGGCTCTGCACATGGTCTAACCACATCTACAAGTGTTAGGAGTAGGTTTTCCCTGCCGGCCTGGACCCACCGCTGCCACACCAGCCCCAAATAACACACAGAGGCACTGTATTAGATACAACGCTGTTGGCCAGTTACTTGTTTCTTATCGGCTAGCTCCGTCTTAATTATTAACCCATTTCTATTAATCTAAGTACTTCCATGTCATCTTATCTTACCAGAGAGTGGGCCCGGACCTCTATTCTCTCCAGTCTCTACATGATCACTCCTTCCTACTACTTCCTTGAATCCTCCTTGTCTCCTAGTCCCACCTATCTTGCTTTCCAATTGGCCAACAGTGCTTTATTCATTAATCACTATGAGAAACTTATTTACAGAATGACATCTCTCATCATACAAGTCCATGTGAGGGCCTTTGTGCCTGGTTTGGAAGCTGAGATAATCTCTGCTTCGGGTAGAATGCTAAGTAGTTAAAAATATCTTGAAGTCAAACATGAATTGGAAATCAAAGTTCAGAAATGGTCCATGATTGTTTTAATATAGACACTATTTTAAATACAAAGATATATATATATTTCCCATAGAACAATGGATTTTAAACTTTTACAATTTTTATTTACTTATTTGTATGTGTGTGCATATGAATGTCATGGCGTGAATGGAGGTCAGGGGACAGACAACTCACAAGGAGTTCTCTCCTTCTACTGTGTGGGCTAGAGGGTCTGAACTCTGTCATCAGGTTTGGTGGCAAGTGCCTTAATTCACAGAGCTATCTCACAAAAAAATGGAGTTCCACAAACTATGGAGCTCATTGTGCAAACAAATGGCCAGTGTGCAAAGCACATCAAAGACTGGCCAGTTAGTCTGTTAGCAGAGCTGTGCCAGGACACAGTGCCTCTAGCTGTGGCTTTCTCATCTTAGTACAAGCAGCCCTGTGTCCTTGACAGAGTCCTACACGGAAGATCGTTACTCTGAGAACACATCTTCACTTCGTTTTAAAGATTCCTTGGAGTTCAGAGATTAAAGCACATTCTGTGCCAAACAAACTTTGGGGAAGAAACTGTGTCGCAGTCTACCGTGAATACTGGACCAATCTGGACAACAGGGGATCTCACTGCCACTGGGTGTTGTGTGAGTACAATATAATTACAGTTTTCAAACTTGGACCCACAAGCACTGAATCGCACTTACATTCCCTGGACCTAACCTGGCTCTTTCCCGCTCTCTGGGAGGAGCTGAGAAAATAGACATCAGAAGAGGAAGCTGCAGACAGTATGACACAGACAGGCACACGAATGACAGAGCTGGCTGGTCAGGTCAAAGGGTGTGCCTTTCCCAGTCCTCGAGAGCCCACTGTTTCCCAGAATGTTCCCATGCATCGCATCCTGGAGGAAAGCGCCTCCAGTCAGCATGGCTTTTTCTTTAGCTCGTTGCCATAGGGATGGATTGATTGTCTAACAAATTGCAAAGCAAAGCAAAACAAACAACATTTTGGGATTAACTCTGTAAGAAAGTTGCATTTCTACTATGCTTTCCCACCACAATATATGGATTTATTTAGCATTTAGTGAAATGATTGGGTGGCTTTCCCATGGGAAAATTTAATTTTAGTAGGAGTAGATCCGACTGAGATCTAAAAGCTGTGAGTCTCAAACAGATGTTCTCCTCTTTCTTTGCCCACTCTGAAGGGTAAGAATGGACAGAGGGGAAAGCAAGCAAGCAAACAAACAAACAAATGGGCAAAAAGAAGCAAAGAAAACAAGCACTGTGTGTATAACCTCTTTTCCCACATTCAGAGGCTTTTTATATTGTCCACTTAACAGTTTACAAGATTTCCAAAGGAGTCCGTGGGCAAGTTTTTGTAATTTGGGGGCTACATGCTAAGAAAGCTTTATGCAAGCCCCACGCAGTCAGCATTTCCCGTACCTGGCTGTACAGTTCCACAGAGGATTCTCCCTTGAGCTGATGGCCTGTGAGGTAGGTATTGTGTGAAGATTCAATGTAATAGTAGGAGAGGGGCAGTTGAAGTTCTTTCTTGTTCTCCTGTGACTCATCATTTTTGGAGGCGAAATTATCTTTATCCATCAGAAACCTGGACGAAACATACTTTCTTAGGGCTGCATAAGAGCAATGTGTACTCTTAAGTGACTTTCAAAGGGGATCCGAAGAGTTAGTTACCTTGCAAACCCTTCAAACGACATTAGGCCCTGGTGACACATACTGACGCTAGGCTCGAATTTCTGCAAGGGATTAAAAAAAAAGGCATTTTTTTTTTTTCTTTTAGGGTAAAGAAAACTAAGAAGGGGGAAATAACACCACATCATTTTTAAAAAAGCTGTTCTGTTTTCATTAGGGAATGTCTAAACCAAATATTTGAACTAATTTAGTTACTTAGTGGTAAGATACAGTTTTTAGTCCAAAAGAAAATATTTATTATATGCGAGTTTATTATACCAAGCATATTTACTTAAGAGAAAGAAAGGAGCAAGAGAAAAGAATAAGGCTGATTTATTTGAAAACACTGTGCATTATTGAGGCAAGGATGAGGATAATAATGGCAGCTACCTTCCAGCAGTGGGAGGGAGGATGAGCTGATTCTCTAGGCACACCCCCCACCAAACATACACTCAACTAAGTCACAGTGGGTCCTCAGTTTTAGCATCTTTAGCGGTTAAATCTAAAGGCTGGCGTGCTACTTCACGGACTCCCAATCAGGTGCTTAACCCCATTCTGCTGCATGTGACTCTGTCACTATGAAGTTTCCCTCCCCATAGCTGTCACCCTTTAAACAGCCACCTCCTCTTTCCTGGGCTGCTCGGGCAGTGGCCACTGTTCACCAGTCTCCATCCCTCATCAGCACAGTTTATTCCCAAATGGGCTCACAGTGACCCCCTCAAGCATAAATCACCTCCTGCTTCAAATTTCCTCAAGCTTCCTGTTTCACACGCACAACCTCCATCCGTCCTGTGGTCTAGAAGGCCTAGATGAGCTGGTCTTTGGATACCTGCCTGAAATGGCATCTGCCAGTCCTGCCTGGCTCTGATTACGCTAGCTTTTTTGATGTTCCTCATAAATCCCCAGCTTGCTCCTGCCCCAGGGTTTGAGCTAGCTCTTTATGTTTCTCCAAGAACCTTCTTCCCTCAGAACTTCAAATGATTCAAGTCCCTCGGAGATCAGCCCCAATGCCCTTCTCCAGCTCAGCCTTCCCGTTATCTCTACCCTGCTCAGTTTTTAGAAACCACTCATTCTTGAAGCTGTTTATTGTTTGCCTCACACCTCAGAATGTAAGCTGCATGGAAGAATGAAACTGGTACTATATCCCAATTCTTGGAACACAGACTGCAGAGTAGGAGCTGACAAATAGTGTTAAGTGACAGACTGAAAATATAGACTGTTGCATGTGTTAGAACAGCAAGAAGGAATCGGGCACACTCTCCTTGTAATTGCCATGGAGTCAGAGATGCCCCAGGACTTATGTTAATTATATGATAAATAAGAATACCAATGGACTTGGCATTAAAAGAAACTCTATTTGGACCCCAGATATGAAGGCTTTGGGAAGACGTATAAACAGAACAAAATGCTTAGCATCAAATTATCAGATCAGTCAGGGGCATGCTGTACATGTGATACCTGGATGATGCTGAGAATTTCATCATACGTGCAGTGCTCTCCTTGGCAATTCACCAGGAAGTCATTGAGCTGGAGTATGCCAACCCCGAATATGCCCAGGGATGTGCTCTCAATCCCAGTGCCATTAGTCACAATGCTCGCTGCTGCAATAGCATCAGATATCTGCCTCTGGTTGTCAGAAAGCTGTTGTTTACTCTTAATGAACAGCCCCAAGTCTGAGACGTTTCTGGTCAGCAAATCTGAAACATAGCCACCCATAGCAATGGATTATCCAGAAGCCCTTTGATGAGTTCATCTAGAGATAATGGTGTTATGGAATCAATGCCCTGGCGAAACTCTAATCTGTTTAAGTAAGGTGCCAAAGTCAGTGTGTATTGTTGGCTTCCCACAGTAGAAGGAGAAACAAAATGAATCAATGAATAAATGAAAGACCTAGGGGCTGGAAAGATGCTCAGCCTAGAACTCACTCTGTAGACCAGGGTCGCCTCAAACTCACAGAGACCCATCTGCTTCTGACTCCTCAGTGCTGAGATTAAAGGTGTGCACCATCTCATCTAGCCCAAATTTAGATTAAAATTTTTTTAAAAAGTTGTGTGTATGGGTGTTTGGGGGTGGTTATATACACGTGAGGACAGGTGCCCTTGGAGGCTATGCTATTAGAATCCCTAGACCTAGAGTTCATATGGTTGTGAACCATTCAATATGAGTACTGGATACTGAACTTGGGTCCTTTGGGAGGTCAGCAATATTTCCAACTCTGAGCCATCTCTCTGGCCCAGGGTGTTTGTTTGTTTATTTGTTTTGAGAATAATTGTTTCTAAGCTTTTGGTAGAAAACCAAGAAACACACTACCAAAGCTTTTCTGTATTTTTAAATTTGTAATCATGAGCATCTGTGTACAGAGTTTTCATCAATACTATTTTAAAACTCATTTTTTGATAATAGCAACTGTTGGACAATAAATATAATATGTAGAAGAATAAAAAGTAAAATTGCTTTTGGTAAATGATCAAAGAGTATAGTTGGGCCCTATGTAAAGAGTATGTTTGTTTCTGCAAGAACCCATCACATTGTCATTTTACCTTTGGGAAGACAATGTGGCAATTTCTAATAGAGAAAAACAGGGGCTTACTATACAATCTAACACAGATACTTAGCCAAAAGGCTATACAACATATTGGCATACAAAATTATGCATACAAATGCTGATAGGAGGATGTCTATATAATTGAATATTACTCAATTTAAAATAAATTAACCATTGAGTTGAAAAAAAAAAAAGCAACGGAATGCATATTGCCTGGTGGAAAAAAGTTATCTTAAAGGACTACATACTGTAGGATTTCAGTGATGTGCTGTGTCTTGGAAAAGGCCCAGTTATGGAATGGTAACAAAATTGGTGGCAGCCAGAGGCTTACAGGGAAGGAGAGTAAGCTGAAAAGGTGGGGCAGATTTCTAGAGCAGCAAATCTGTTCTGCCTAATACTGCTGTGTATACATGTCATTGTCTGTAGAAGCCATGGATTGTGCAACTCTCAGGAAACCCATGGACTCCAGTTACAAATATGTATCGATAGTGGTTGGATTGTAACAAAGGCACTTTACTAATGCAGGGCATTACAAACAGTTTGTGCAGGGGCCAATGGTTTCTTCTCATCTTCTCATTTTCCAGAAACCTACAATGGGTCTATAAGATAAAATGTGATGATTTAAAAGATGTAATTATTTGGTTAGTCTGTGGGCATGCATGTTTTGAGAGCTATACAATGGCTAATCAGGACAATACAAGGTTATAAGTAATTATGAAGTAAGTACATGAAAAAAGAGGTGTGTGTGTGTGTGTGTGTGTGTGTGTGTGTGTGTGTGTGTGTGTACATTATCTTGTGCTTATAGTTCTGTCAAGAATTTAGGAGAAAAATGATAATAGGCTTAAAAATTCATGGGTGACTAAAATGGTGTAAGTGGCACAGAAGGCGATATTCTGGTTAACAAAGAAGGAAAAGCATCCTCCATGTTCACATAGGAACAGTCTGCTGAGGTGGCCAAAAACTCCCCTTGACAAAGGACAGACAATTGGTAGGACAGACACTGGTGTTTCTCAATTAAGACACAGTCCTAACCTTGTGGACATCTGGAAATGGTCCAGAAGGGAGCAAGGTTGTCAGAGTGATCAAAGACATTCTTAGACAAATACCCCAGTTTTAACTAAAAGGAACCACGAGACAGTGGATTTCCCACAGCACCTGCCTGCTCCTCACCACCAAATGAGCTTGGAAACAATTCTCAAGTGTTTCTAAAAGCTCCAGGTAACAGCAAACCACGAGTAACAGGCTGACCTCCCACCTTGGTTTTTTGGAGACAAAGTTCCCAAAGCAAAGTCCCAAACCAACCTAGGTCAGGCTGAAGGTCACTGGCGTTTTCTTCAATGGTCAGGTTGGTGTACAGGGGGGCTGACTCAGAGGCAGACCGATTGCAGGGTACAGAGTAGATGTCAAAGATGTCCTTCAGGTCCTTGCGGCTCCTGACGCTGAGGGAGGGAGGGAAAACACCTCCCATTTAGATCTGTCACCCAACTGTGGGCCTGACAAAGAGTCAGAAGAAAGCCCACATCCTACCTGAATGATTTGAACAGCTCGACAAATTCAATGAAACTCATGTTGCTGTCTGAAACCATGAAGCTCTGGAAGCCCTTCATTCCTCCTTTGATCCGCCCATGCCAGCTGCTGCTGCTCCAGGCACTGCAGAGAAACATGGCTGTCACTGGCAGATGCACACCCTGAGTCATTCTGCCTCAACAGTCTCTGATGACAATCTGAGCAAAAAGGGAAACAATACTATACCCCAGACTCCTTTTATTTCTCTTAACCAACTTCACATCAGAGGGACCGAGTATGTACAGGTAACAATGTTTCTAGTTTACTCAATCGTGACAAAAACCCTTGCAGTTAATATTCCTTCACTAACAGAACAGCTCTTTGGAAACACAAACTGATAAATCAGGGGGAATCTCTTAAATTCAGTGTGTCTGAAGAAAAGTCATGTAAAAAAGATATAAAAATTCCTAGTTCATAATCTATGGGAAATAATTGGTGTTCTTTTCTGTATCCTAAATTATGGAAACACATCCAGGAGGCGAGTTTGAAATGCATTAGTGTCTCTCCTTTTCCTTTTTTAAACCAGGTCTTCAATGAAAACAGGGGAGAGCTTTTAATATTAGTGGAAAATGTGAGTCAGAAAAATATTAAGAATGGAAAGAAGCCAACCCTGCCTTGGAGCCCATCTGCACCTACCAAGGCTCCATCCATTCACCATAAAAATATCACCGCTCTCAGGCAAATGTTCAATCTGGCCATTTCACTACACTTTTTATTTTCTATGTGGATTACTCAAAGTATTAGAAGAAATGCTTCAACTATGGCTTTCAGTCAAATCAATTAATAGAATGTTTCTTTTTTCTTTCCTTTTCTTCTTCTTCTTCTTCTTTTTCTTCTTCTTCTTCTTTTCTTTTGAGGAAGGCTTGGAGGGGGCAGCAGGGGATATTTCAAGTGTTAATGTATAAGCAAGTACAAAGGACACTGATTAGCCAGTCTACTTTCAATTCTGTGACCAGAGCTCACTCACTGAAAATTATTTAGAGTTAAGATCTGACAGTCACCTCTCTGGATGGGAGAGCATCATGGATGGATGGATTTAAGCTGTGTGTGGTGTGTGCAACTTAGGATACAAGTCCAGGAAGACATGAATGGTTCTTTACTATAGAGTTCTTATCAATAGTGAGGAGAAAGCAGATAAGAGCGACTACACTGGGAGTGTCTGTAACTGTGCGCATGTGAGTAGTGTGTGTAGAACCTTTCCAAAGCCAATGTCTGTCCGCTGAGACCCATCTCTCTGTGGCACAGTGAATAGGACCTGCTTTACACTGGCTCTGCCTGGATCTTCCACATTTCTTTAGCTGTTGTGTATAGAGTGGTGTTCCAGTTCCTTTTGGTGGATTTTCATTTTATTATTACTTCTGTTTCTAAGATGTAGATTTTTCCTGTTGTTTGTTTTTGAGACAGGGTCCCACTATGCAGCCTGGGCAGGCCTGGAACTAGCTATGTGGGCTTGACCAGACTCCAAATCACAGAGATCCTCCTACCTCTCAGCTGCTAAGATTAAAGGTGAGTGCTGTCATTGATCAGCAAAAGCAGAGATATTTAAAAGTCTATGGTCCTTACAACATCATTTGCAACAATCCTAGCTTTGGGTTTAGGTAAAGATATCCAACTTGTTGCAATACTTAAATTTACTGCTCCAGGAAAGCATAACTTCTACCACATGTCAGAAAATCATGATATACATTTCACTATCAGGACAGTCAGGCAGTGTACACTCAAATCCATGTTTTCTCCTAGCATGTCGCTATCTAATGGAAGATGCTGCAGGGACACACGTGTTCTCTATCTGCAGTATTCAGCTCAGGAACCATTCGCCATCTGTGGTGGAATTAAAGCATGACCCAGGACCTGATTTTCCAATTTCATTTTGAATAATTGAAGCTTGATGTTAAATGGCTACATGTAATCAGTGTCTAGTAAACTAGATGGTTCAGATTAGGGCATCATGGCTCGGCTTTTTATTACTGCCTCTAACCTTGGAAGGACTTTTCTCTCTCTCTCAGACAATTAGAAGGGATCATAGCAGTATGAGAAACTATGATCACAGAATCAGGAAAATCAGAATAATTTTCCATTAGGGGTTTTTCAATTTAACTGTGAGTTAGAACTAGAGACAGACTTCTTTGCATAGAAGGCAAGGTACACGCCCTTCCTCATAGCTGGAGTGATGTGGAGATTCCCTGTTTCATCATGTTAAGGCCCCACCTGGAGGGACTCTTGTTTGAAGAAGACAGCACAGGGAAGGAGACTGGCCTGATGGGAGATGACATCCCCGTAGCCAAGTTGGGGGACCCAGCCGTGGTCAAAGAGTGAGCTCTTCTGGAATGGGGGGGATTGGGAGGGTTGGTGATGACATTGGCTTCTGCAGGGATGAAAAACAAAAGAAAAAAAAAGAGGTGATGATTTAGCTCCTACTTTCCCTTAAAAACCAGCAAACAATCCACAAACTGATTTTTATGTAAACAACATCCAAATACTTTGATGAATGGGCCAATCTGGTGGGTTCTCAGTGGGCCACAAGCCTACCTGGGAGTTTAAAAAAGTACACAGATGCCCAAGGCCTTGGCAAAGAATAAAGAAATGATTTGGTCATGGGTGTGGTCATGACATCCAGGCATAACTTTAAAAAACCCTAACATTCAGGCGGTTGTATCCTGTATAGCTAATGTTCTCTATCAATCATGGCAAGCTGATGAGTGTGCTTGTAGAAATACCTCTCAGGTTTCCCATTTCATCAAGACAAAATATTTTCTTTAGAATGCCCACCAGGGGCTGGAGAGATGGCGCAGAACCTTAAAACACTTGCTAGTCTTACAGGGGACTCCAGTTCCCTTTCTGGTACACACAATAGGCATTGCCTGTTAACTCCAGCTCCAGGGGATCTGATGCCCTCTTCTGGGCTCTGAAGGCACCCACACATGTGTTCACACACACAAATGTTTTTAAAGGGATGTTAAAAAAAAAAAAAAAAAAGAATTCCCATAACATCAAACTGAAATGACAGCATAAAGCTAAATCTAGGTTCTTTTCCACAAAAGTAAAAAGAGTTCAGATGTGAGCGCAATGCATTACCTGAGTCTTCTTGTTCGTTAACGTCCTGAGGATCAGAACCACTCCGGCTGCGACACTCTCTGTACATTTTGGCCTTGCGGGTCGCCGTCTCGTCGTCAGTCGCCTCTCCACTCTCTCCCTGGGGACAGAAATCTCACTGTATTGCAGCTGGACTGCATTGCTCTCCCTCAGTGCTTTAGTGCAGGGAGGCTTCTGCTTTCTGGCCGCTCTTCATTGTGAAGCAATGTCCTCCCCCCCCCCCACCAAAAGGAGGCTGAAGAAAGCATGCACACCCCTGGAATCTCTGGGGACAGACACAGTAAGAAGCAATGAAGTTCTGTGAGCCTTCCATGAGCAAAGTGCAGGACTGTCTTGGACAGCCAGGACACAAATGCACTATGCCATAATGAAAATACACGTTGTACAAGCAGCAATGCATGGTGCTACTATATTTTAAATTGTTTCACATACAGCGTTGTGGGCCTTCATAATGTGATCTTCTTACTTTCTTTTTGTGTGATTTTATTTGGAGACAAGTGTCTGTCTCCCTAGCCCAAGCTGGCCGTGACTGAACTTACTGCAATCCTCCTGCCCTAGCCCCTGGCATGTTGGGATTACAGGAGTGAGCCACAGCGCCACCTACCACCCTTTTTCTTTTCCAGTCCATCTTTACCCACCACAGAACTTGTGCTCTAGCCTCTCACATACACCTCTGCATGTGAGAGGAATAAGCAAAGCTTTTAGGCCCTGCCCTCTCCCCCGTGGCAGATGCCTTCCTTTGTGTTGTGTTCGGAAAACTCCTGCACACCCTTCAAGACCCATCATGCATCAGCTACTCTGAGGGCCTTACTGCCTGCCTCTCAGCCGTACATTTTTCACTTCTCTACGGATACAGCTCTTTGCAGGTGACTCACATTTGCCATGTCTCGTGTTTAAGCCAATTGCAAACTTTTAAGGACTTTGGTTTCTCCCTGGTGTCTTTTCCTTGCTTGATTCCTGACACTGACCCTGGAACCTGAGAGGTGTGTGGCAAGTCCTTGTGACCCTTGTTTTATAATTTATCTTGTCCACAACAGGAATAACCTGTGGTGGCTTACGGCATTGTAGACCACAGGGCAGTCTTAGAAGGCTGGGTATGATGCTTAAACAAATCTACTGTACCCTCATGAGCATTTTCTTCTTTTTCTTGGTGGTGCTTATGCCCAGGGTGTTGTTTCTCTGCATGCTAGGCTTCTCAGCGTTCTTTGCTGACATCCCAGGGCTGGGGTTTCTAGCGCTCCATCGTCTGCCACCAAACAACTCCACGGCATGAGCCAAGGTTGGGCCTTCATACCGACCATCTTCCTACAGAGAACCACAGGCTAAGCATACAAACAAGCAGCAACAGGGAGTAAATATTAACGGTCCCAGTAAATTCCCAGAGGTGGATAAGCTCAGGCCTTTAGAGGAGCATGATCTGGCCACCCATGTGATTCTGTTCCAGACTCTAGGGACTTCCTGTTGGTGGGCTGATTGTGTCCCCCATTGTCCCGATCACATCCCAGGTCAATAGTGTACTTTAACCCATCAGCTGGGGGAAAACAAAAAAATCAAGACAAAACACTTCCTATCCTAGTCCCTGAGATTATTTGGGAACCAGTCCTGTGGGAAAATTCATTAAGACTGCACATTAGGGGCTGGGGATATAGTTCAGTTGCTTGCCTAGAGTGCACTTCAGAAGTCTTTAACATTTTGCAAATTATGATTCTTGGGAAACTGTCTAGCATCTATGAGGCTCTGGATCAGTTTTAGTACTTTCCGTAAATTTGTTTATTATTTCCTGTAACCTTTATTAGTATTCTTTCTATCTATCTTTTTGTCTGTCCGTCTGTCTATCATCTATCTATCTATCAGCAGCAGGACCAATCTCCACTGTTTCAGTTTTCCTAATTTCAGAGTATCCCAAGACTGCCAGGCCAGAACCTCAACAATACGTAAAGAACCGCAGACAACTGAGGAAGACAATTGGTTGTCCAGTGCCATGGTCAGGCCTGAAAATGTGTGTGCACGTAGTACTACATGGACGGAACAGGTTATATTTAAGAATATATATGTATGTAACATACATATATGCGTATAGTAACAATTATTAAAAATAAAAAACGAAATTGAAGGAGAGTTGGACGTGTATGTGGGAGGAGTTGGAGGGAGGAAAGGGAGAAATGTAATATAAATTATAATCTTAAAAATAAAAAAGTTAAAAAAAGAAAAAGAAAACCAAGCCAGAAAATAATACTTTTGTTCACTCTCTCAAGGAGGCTTTATGGAAACTGAAATATAGTGTGACTCTTTCATTTTACACAAAACAATAAGCATGTTTGGGACACGTAAAGGAGATAGTTTCTCTTCTCTTTTTAAAACTGTAAATGAAGGATGCTTGTGAGTGAACACAAATACTTAGTTTTAGCAAACAATTCATGTAGAAGTTTATGGCAAGGAAACTGATTCATTTAAAAAAAAAAAATCTACCTGAGCTGGAGAGAAAGCTCAGTAGTTAGGAGTACTGACTGATTATTTTATAGCATAAGTTTGGTCCCCAACACACACACGGCGACTCACAACTGCCTGTAACTCCAGGTGCTTTACTAGCACCCAGATGCACACAAACTACCACACACAGACATGAAAAGATACATAATTAATTAAAAAGTAAAAATAAAACAAGTCCTGGGCGGTGGTGGCACACACCTTTAATCCCAGAATTTGGGAGGCAGAGACAGGCGGATCTCTGAGTTCAAGGTCAGCCTGGTCTACAGAGTGAGTTCCAGAACACCCAGGGCTGCACAGAGAAACCCTGTCTTGGAAAAAGAAAAGAAAAGAAAAAAAAAAATCTATGTACTTAAACATGTTGACATCTCTTTTCTAAGAAGGAAATGAAACTAATCCACACCCTTTGGTTTAAATATTTTTCCTCTGCCTATAGAAAAGAATTTCAATTCATTGCTTACAACCAAAGATGCTTACCTGATGTTTCTATATGTGAGTTTTACAGCTTCTCAGGGCTCCATTTTATACTGAGCAGTGTGGGCCCCTAGCTTTGCCCCTGACAATTTAAGGCAAAGCTAAGGGTCCACATCTCTTCCACCTTCCCAGTCAACATCATTGCGTAGTTTCCTGGCTTTCGCTATATTTTTTCACTTTGAAGTTGAAAAGATTATTTTTATTTTCTATGTACACTGTTTCCAAACTTGGGATAAAGTAATGTTTTTATAGGACTGTTAACAGAGAAAATCCCACAGGTGTTTAAAAAAAAAAAAAAAACTTATAAAGTTAAAAAAAATGTTGGCACTGGTGCATGGCTGAGCATTGTGCTGATATATGGGAGTCACTTACTCAGTACGCTATTGTTATAAATTACAGGGTCAGGTATAGTTAGTTCATGTAAAGTGGAAATTAAAATTCGTGGCCCCTGAGTACTCCACAGGGAGCTTTGAGCTAGTTGCGCATGTCTATGAGGGACTTTCAGGACTGGGTTAACTGAGGGCTTAAGATCCAGTCTAAAGGTGGGCAGTCCTGTTGCATGGGCTGTGGTCCTGGACTGCAGAGAAAGGAGAAAGTGAGCTGAGCACCAGCTTCCTCTCTCTCTCTCTCTCTCTCTCTCTCTCTCTCTCTCTCTCTCTCACTGCAGATGCAATGTCACGAGCTGCCTTAAACTCCCGTTGCCATGCCCTGCCTGTCACGATGGACTGCACCCTCAAATTGTGAGCTAAAATACATTCTTTAGTCCTTAAGCTGCTGTTGCCAGGTGTCTTGTCACGGCAACGAGGAAAATAACCAAGGCAGGGACTGCAGGAGCAGCCAGGTTGAACAAAGTCCTCAGAAATTCCTCCAACCACCAGGTATCCTGTGACCTTCCTGCTTTCCCAGCATGGGAAGTAGAGTTCACACTAATTAATTAAAAACGCCCCAGGCTACACTCTCGGAAGCAGCTAGGGAAGCCAGACTGGATAAATTAGTTAATAAAGCCTTCTCTTTAGCCTTCTTCATCCTCCCAAGAGCTGGGATGATAGGCATGAGCCACCGTGTCTAACATATGATGGTGTTTTCAGATGAAACCTTCAGTGTGTGAAGTGCCTGTATCAATGGGTTTCCAGATGCGAGTCGCTGTTTTCATACCAAATAGTAAGATGGCCCATCACGAACAGACATTCGTATTAATTTACACTTTGTCTTTACATGCTATGAGCTTGCACACTATGTACAAATACAGCTCAGTTCCAGTTTTTAGACAGGGAAACTGTGACCCCGAGAGGCTAAAGATTACACAGAGTGAGTGACAGGGCTGGGAATCTAGTAGTTTAAATGCCAAGTGCGTGGTCCTGAGGGTTGACCTACTCAAGGGAGAAGGCTGGACATATTCCTTACCTGATAGAGGCTGACATACTGTTTCCGAAGCCACTGTTGTCTTTGGTCAGGGAACTTCTTTATCTTTCTCACAGCTGTCGTGAGTTCCAGCAGTCCACTGAAAATCATTTTAGCTGTGTGCTTGGGCGCCACAAAGTGCAAGAGTCTATTGTCAGTGGTCTGGAGTCCGTAGAGCAGTGTTACCCCAGTCTCTGGGAGAAGCAGGCTACCCAGTTTGTTCTGAACACACACAGTGTGTATATCAATGCCTGGGTGTCCCATGTATACAGCCTTTACTGAGAACAGATCCAGGATACCCTCGGCCAGGCCACTCAGCCCAGCATTGCCCAGTGATGGGAACTTGCCAGGTTCAGACATGTTACTAAGCATACCAAGCTTGGGTCTGGCACCAGCTGGGGAGGCGGTGGGAGGCTTCATCCAGGTCAAGGTGCTATTGTCAGGCTGTAACTGGAGAAAGCAGCGGGCAGAGAGATGTGTGTCCTGGTCGTAGTGGATGACTGTGGCCCCCTGCAATAGGAACTGGTGCACATCAGCTTGGATGGACAGCACGTACCATGGGATGAGCTCTGTCCCATGCTCAAAGGCCTTCTGTGTCTCCTCTGATCCATGAAGGTCACATTCTTTGGACTTCTCAAAGATGTCATTTTCTGAATCCAGCAAATCTCCAATTATAAACCTGATGAAAACATACAAATTTGCTTTGACTGATAATCAGAAAGGCACCAACACAGAGCTTTTTCTTCATACACAATGACAGTTTTTCCCCCACTCAGGTTGTGAATTCAAACAAGCATAGGAAATATAAAATGCTAAACACCATAGGACAATTTATTTGTAACCATATTATATAATCTTATATTTATCAAGGTGTCTGACCATAGGCATGCTGTTAATGCTCTTGACCGTTTTGAAAAGCACTACTAGGTATTTTGTAGAAAGTGCTTTAATTGAGATTTGTCTGGTATTTTGCTCAAAATTAGACTAAGATTATGGGGATGGGTGAGGAACGGTACAGAGATAAGCTACCATTATTATCACACTTTATAAACGGCATAATCTCCCGACATGGCAACCCACCGATGCTGACCTGAAACATGACTGAGGCAGTGTTTCTCATGTCCCACTCTATTGTTATTATTATTAATTAACGTTTCTTTCCATACATACTAATTGGAAGCAAGTCACTATGTCCAGATTACACTGAAGGAGAGCGTGCTATGTTCTTCCTCCTAGGGAATGGAGAGGCTATAAATTACACTTTTGGAATTCTTTTGCATGGGAGTTTTATCTCTTCTCCCCATTTGTCATGTTTGCATGTCAGCTCCTTATTGTAGGGACTTAGAGATAATTGAATAGTGCTCTAAGTGGGTTATAACTTAATAACGCAACTTTATTTCGTTGCTTTGGCCACCAAGAGCCCCTTTGGCATGTGCTTCTTTCATAGACTCAAATGGGTTTGCTTGGATGATTTGTTGTTTTGCTTTTGATGGCTTCCCACTTTGTAGCACCGTAAGACACGCCAGGCTCACACATCCCTGCTTCAATCCCAGGGTCAGCCATTTACCCAAAGGACCTTGCTTCTTTGTACTGAAGAATGGTATTAGAAACCATCTTTTGAGTGCTAGGTGCAAATACATAAATTTCATGCACTTTTCTTGAAGTTACATGCCATAATTAAAAAAATGAAATAGAAAGAGATTATTGCCTGGGTAACTCAGCACCCCTCAAGTGCTCTCAGTGACAGTGGAAGAAAGGAAATACTCGTGTTCATCTCCACAGCTGCCTCATGCTTCACACCCTCTGCGGTCACGCCAGGAGAATGTGTAGATGTGCCACCTGTGTTCTGTGTGATCTGGTCAAAACATTCGAACTCCAAGTCTCTCTCCACTTATCCACTACCTGGCAGGAGGAAAATGGTCACCTCACAAAGTGGGAGGGCGGTTAAGCGAAGCAGATTACAAGCGCACACAGCCCTGCGTCTGCTCAGGAAAGGGCACTGCTACGATTAAATGTGGGGAGGCCAGGCATGCTCGTTTGAGCTCTCCTCTGCTCCAGGCTGACAAGCAAAACCATTTCCCTAGAATGACTTCCTTCAGAGATCACGTCCAAGTTTCTCTCTGGGGCCGCTATCACATTCTTTCTGTGATACTTGCTGGTAGTGAAAAGGCTGGGGGTCGGGTGGTTGTGGTCACTGACACCAGCAATTGCAACACTAATGAGATTGAGACAGGAGGATTGCTGTGATTTCAGACTAGTCTGGGCTACATAGTAACTTCCAGGAGAGTATGAACTACAATGTAAGATCCACTAAAAAAAAAAAAAAAAAAAAAAAAAAAAATCAACCAACCAACCAAAGTTGAAAGAGATTCAGTTTGTGAGCATTGGTACTGATTAAAACGTTTAAAACGTAGAATTTCTGATTTTAATTTAACAAAGTTTTTCCACTGATAAGACCACAGGTATTATGGAAAAAAAGCATCTAGATAGAAAAAACAAAACAAAACAAAAAACCCAAAACAAAACCAAAAACAGGTACAGCTTTTCTGCAGGCTGTTTGTGTTTCTCTCAGATGACATACACTATGGGTGGGGGGGGGAGGGGCAGGGCTGTTTTTCTTGGCGTCACTTTGTATTTTAGAATACAAAAGGAACTAATGCCAGATGGAAATAATTTCATTAAAAAACATTCATCCAGGGGGTAATTTCCAAAATAAAATTGACAATTGTATGTAATGAAATAAATTCATTTCAAGCAGGAAGCTGGTGGTGTCTTTTGTCTCTTAGATGACAGAGTGGATTTTGTGTAGTTCTGAGCCTGATTCTCCTGGAGACAGTTTTTCTGTGGGAGTATGAGATGGGATGAGATGGAAAATTAAGATTTACTTAGAAACCAAGCAACATTAACCAAGATCAAAGATACAGTCAACCAGCAAAGAAACTACCTCACTCTTAGGCATGGAAACTGAAGGAAGGTTTTTATCCTGCTTTTCAATAGCTTCTTAGTTTCCTGCATGAGAAACCAGAAATCAATAGCTGAACACCTTTCTAGGGATGTCTGGTGAGAAAACCTTATAATTAGGTGACAAAAGGCTGTTTGTCAGCCTGTTTATGTATTTTCTTCATAAGGGTTCATTATTTTGTACAAATTTACAATGACTACTTGAATATGAGTCACCAACAAATAAAACCTAAATTTTATCTTTTAAAATAGGAGAAAATCACCCTTACCACATGATTTGTTATAGCTGTTCCCTGTAATAAAAAATTAATGTTTTTAAGTTGTTTTATATATATATATGTGTATGTATGTACGTACACACACACACACACACACACACACACACACACACAATTTGTGCTTTAACTATCCTATCACGCACATGCACATATGTAGGTTTGCGTGTACAGGCCAGAGGTTGATATTAGTGTCTTCTTCAACTACTCTCCACCTTAGTGTTAGAGACACGGTCTCTCGCTGCACCCGGAATACACAGATTCAATTAGAGTGGATGGTCAGTAAGTCCCAGGAGTCCTCCTGCTTCCAACTCTTCAGGTCTGGGATTATAGGCACATGTTTTACCATGGGTGCTGGGGAAATCTGAACTCAGATCCTCATTCTAGCATAGCAAGCACAATGGAGTCATCGCCCCAGGCTTTTTATGATCTCCTTTCTGGGGTTTCCGTGAGTATTCCCACTGGTTTTCTGGCAGGAGCAGCTGAGGGCTTCGAGAGGAATTCTAACACCCTGCATGCTGGGTAAACTGAAGGACCATGAGATAGACTGCTTTCCTTCTTTCTCCCCCCCCCCCCCTTTTCCTTTCTCTCCTCCTTCTTACCTTTTTTTCACTGAGTTGGGCCGCATGAACAGAGGCTGAAGGTTATTGTTTAAACTCAATAAAGCCCAGTGATTTGGTCCTTCAGGACCAGCAACACACTGTGCCTAAGACACCCCGAATGGGGCATTTTCACAGGGTGCTCTGGACTGAGGTAAATAAGGAAGTAGTGCTTACTGGGCTGGCTTCAGGGACCCTATTAAATCCCGCCTCTGCTGCATCCAGGGCTCCTTTTTAGAGTAGCAATCACTTAAGGCCAGGAAGCCACTTCCACTACTTAGGCACAAAGGTCTCAAAGTGAGGATTTCAATATGTCTTCCCAAGCTTTGTGAAATAAATATTTGCATCTTTGTGGTTTCCTTTCCCCATTCTCAGGATGCTTACAACCGGATCTTGAAAATGGACAGTGGAGGAGAATGTTCTTAGGCTATAGATGATTAAATGACGAGGAAGAAGACAATGGAAAAAACAGAAAATTGGAAATAAAAACTTCACAAGAAGTAACTTCCGCGTCAGGTGGCAGACTGAAAGCTACCTCCCTGTGACCCTTAAAAGGGGAGAGGGAGTTAGGAGAAAGGGAAGGGGAGAAGAGGAAGGAGCAGGAAGATTGAGTCAGGGAAAGAATAGAGGAGAGCAAGAAAAGAGATACCTTAATAGAGGGAGCCATTATAGGTTTAAGGAGAAATCTGGCACTAGGGAAATGTCCAGAGACACAGAACCAGTGTAGGGCTCCGTGGTGCAAGGAAGCAGAAACAGAAATGTCATCTGAAAAGCGCATCACCAGGTGGCTCTGGAGAGGAGACTGGCAGTCTCCCCCACCCCCATACCCGGACACCCATAGTTCTCTGGAGCCTCATATCCAGTTGTAGTCACCAAGAGAGCGACTTCTTCGGTGGGGAGAGCCAGCAGTTGAGGAGAGCTCAGCCAGCTCAGAAAGGTCCTCCTATCCCAAGGGAGTGTCATTTAAAACTTGGCTACCCCGGAAGCTAAAGACAAGGGAACGATCTAACGTCAGGGAGCCAGAATCAACCGGCTCTACCCCCAAGAGCGAGAACCGGAGGGTGAGAACGGAGGGCTGAATGTTGACAGGCAGCAGAAGGCCAGGAAGTGAACTGTGTAGGAAAAGGAAGGCCCGCTCTCAGTGGTTTGGAGCCGAATTCATCCACTGAGGACCCTTCTGGACTTCAAGAGCCTTGAGCCCCAGGTCACCAAGTAGATCAACCTCTAGAGCTACCCAGCTGCCCTGAAGTTGCAGAGACCCATTATATCTAAAGCTGCATCTGTCCAGTGAGGCAATTACCGCAGAGTGGACTTTGAAAACACAAAGACAGATCCACCTGTATAAATCTCAGCAGAATGTTTGCTTCTACTCCCAGTGCCCTTGGGAGGAACCTCTGAGCTAGAACATTAATTAGCCTGCCCATGGGGGTGTGAAATGGCAAGGATAGGAGACCCTGCCTAGTTCATAGACCGCAAAGCTAAGTGTCGCCAGCAGAGGCCCCTGGTGTGTAGAGAAGGGAAGCCACTAAGGCACAAGGCAACTCTGACAGGTACCAGACACTTCAGACACTTGACCCCCACCACCCATTACCCAAGGCCCAGTGCCTGCATAAAGTATAGGAAAGTAAAAAATTCAGGGGTCTGCCCATCCTCTCCCTGCTGTGTATACCCGCAGTCTCCCATTTCCAAGGCTCCAGAAAGAAGTCATTCCAGCCCTTCACCCCTCTATGTCTTTTGTCCCTGGCCTTTTCCTGTGTTTATTTATGTTTAAAACATTCTTTGAGACTTGCACACAGTGCACTCTGACCATATTCATCCCCTCCCCCAAGTCCTTTCAGATTTGC